TAAAACAGTTAACACCACTGCCTGAAAGAGTGTTAAGCCACGTGGCTATCCAACGTCTCCGCTTTTAGGCAGCAAATCAGTAAAAATATCGTATTTCCCCAATGTTAAGACGCATTTGACTATAGAGGGACATGTAATTGTCATGCCGAGACGAAATGCTAGCACAATACTGCTAATAGTAACACGAGAAGTCCCACTGGCATCAACTCTGCTGACTCACTAAACCCCTTACTCCGCTGTGCCAGCGTAGCTTGTCACTCATCACAGGTAGCTCCCACTACGAGACAAAGTTAATTTAAAATTTAGCATTGGAATAGGGTCGCAGCATCATGGGGCATTCACTCTTGGTGCTGCAGTGTTCAATTGTAAAACATTGTGTTCAAGTTCTGTTGCCACGGGTGTACGTTTCATGCGATTCTTTTCTGATTGCATTTGCGCGCCGGCAGGTGGTCATTTCTGGCGTCAGGGATTCATTGAATTTGATTAGTTTTTAATCTGAATGAATCATTGCCCAAGACTCCTCTCAATACGCAGAAACTGGAAAGCAGGACTTTCTTCTAAACAGGATGGCACCTTGGACAATCGTGGCCTCGAGGGAGTACCCGTTCTATTGTAGCTGTTTCTGATGGAACGAAACTCGATTTCCACTACAAGTAGCAAAAATTCACTCTAAGAGTAATGCCAAATCAACGAACGAACAAATCACCTACTTCACTATTCTCTATCTATCGGTCATGCACTCCGAAGCATCAATTATTTGTGCTTTGCAAGACCGTCTTCTTATACTCCAAAAAGTCAGATATAAAATGAGATGGAAAAATGGAGAAATGGTGTATGCAGCGCAGGAGTCGTACAACTGCTGCTACTGAATGTTCATAATTATAATAATCAGTTGAGGGAGTAGAATATTCATAATTTCATACAAGTTGAAGTTCCTTTCATCGGTTACATGTCATGTATCAAGGCAGTGTTGAAAGCGATCGATAGATCAGATTAGAATACGAGATTAGTCAAGTCCTATTCTAAGGTACTTCAAGTTGAAAGATAGATGACAACCATTCTCATTTACCTTGCAAGCGGATTTTAAAATCTACAAGTGGTATCACACAGGTAAGTCGATTCAGAATGTCACCTCGGCGTCTTCAGAATCTCAGAATTGCACGTAGCAACGAATGATAATTAGTGGCAGAAGTGTAGCAGGAATGGCGTCATGAAGGCTAAAAATTGAACACAACACTTGTACTTTCCCTGAAACTAATAAATACAATATCTTCAGATAATAAATAACATACTAGTAGGTGGAAAACCTTACACACACACCATCTTCAATCCAAGTGGTCTCTTCGCTGCAAATTACAATAATTCTCAATCAATACTAGTAGATGACGAGGAGAAAGAAGATTCAAGGGCTATAAATAGAAGAATTGATGCCGACAATTATGCATTGACATTGTACTTTGGGGTTGGGGCCATTCATGGCACAATGTTTAAGTACAGTTTTTCTTGCCCTTCATTTTTCGGAACTTGGCGTTGACACACTTCAAACAGTGTCTACCTTCGGTCTTCACCACCTGGCCGTGCGAGTATTTGATGCCCTTATTATTCTCACAAGGAAGCTCACATCTCTTATTGTCCTTCCTCCATGCTTCCAGCAGACCAGGACAGTTAGCTTTCATCCTGCATCTGTACACAACATTTCGATGGCAAAGTCTTTCGCCCTCCCTCGTGCACTGGCTATCCATTCCTCCACCGATTCCATCCGTCAGTTCACTGCATCTACTCGTTCCAGTGACATTCGTTTTACGCAAAAATGCTGTGCCTGTAGGAAATGACGCATTTCCAGCGCTTGAAGTTGAGACCATCTCGGCCATGCTTGCCAATGGAACTCTAGTAACTTTTGTAACGACATCAACATCACCAACATCATCAGCAGCATCATCATCTTGATTGGAGATAATAATTGGTACTGCTGATACACACAGTACAACACACAAGCCGAGCGCAAGATGTAACCACACAGAGTTGGAAGCCATTTTTCTCCTCTCCTTCCGTATGTGTGGGTAGACAGGGACTAATTTAACCGGTATCGCATCGCAATTTGCGACGCAAAACACAGTGTCTGCGATTCGAAGTTCGTAGTGAGTCGCGGTAAACTGCGACACAACATACAGCTAAGTATGGCCCTGGACATAGACTTGTAGTGCACGAGTAGCGCATGCACATGTGTAGCTTTACAGTGTGTGTGGCTGGTTTGGCGCCACGAGATGGCGCGCCATGCACTGGGACTAGATTAGACTGTGTGTGTGTGTGGTTGTCCAGCCTGCACTGCAGGTAGATTTTACACCATACCCACGCGCGGGCCGCGGGACCATGGCCATATGTCACACTATCTCCGCACGCGCACCGCAGCACGTGCACTTGGTCTTGGAAACTAACTAACTAATACTTACTTGAAGTGCAGCCCAGGAAGCGCGAGGCGAGTGTCGACAAGTACTTCACCTGCTTTTGAGATTTAGACCGCGTTGCTTCACTAGCAGTAGGCGTCTCGACCGTTCAGGACTTATCTTTGTAAAATTCTGCTAGCCTTATTGATGAAGCCTCTTCACTGCCGGCATGTCTGTGAAGCAAGGTACTGTGGACAAGTGGATTGATGAATTTGATCCCAAAAAAGAATGGATTCGCGCAGAGTCGAGTGGTGGAGCTGTGACCAAGATATTTTGCAAGATGTGCAGGGAGAAGGCGTCCTCGCTTCGTGGTTTGAGGCAGCATGGCGTTTGTTGACGGTATAAGTGGAAGTGCACTGAAGACTGCATTGTCGACGGAAAAAAACTGCTATGCAAAATTGTTGCGTTGCTATGCAAACATCGAGGTGTGTAGCAATTATTGCTATGCAATTTTTTTGAAGTAAATTAGTCCCTGGTAGATTTGATCGTTGCTAGAACTTTCTCAAGCAGTGAACACTCTTCTGAAACTTTCTCCAGCAGTGAAGGCTCCTGCTATTCCAAAACAAAGCAACTTTTTCTGATTCCGTTCGCAAGTTAGTGAGATGACATTGGTGAGGCAGCTGCCTTCTTTTATACACCCCGCGTGTCGGGTAGTCACAAAATGAAAGTTGAATGTCATGAGACTCATCACTTGATGGGAAGATAATCCTGAGGTATTATCTATTCCCAGGATTGTCAACATGAAAGTAGTTTTTCTCTGGATAAGTTCTACCTTGTGAGGGGATATTGGGCTCATCTTCTACATCGGTGAGCAAAGATTTCATCAGTATGTGCCAATCAAAGGCGATTGATGGAATTGTGGATAATAATTGTTTCATGCAGACAGATACAGGGTGGAATAGCAGAGTTCGGCATCCCCATCTTGTGTATCCAAGTTGTTTTAATCAAGAATCGGTGTTCCTCAGGACCAGACGATATGTGTGCACAGCACTAGTGTGACTGTAGGCTGCGTTTTGTGTGTGTTTGTCAAGGGTTGAGAGAACTGTGTAATTCATGTCAAACAGATGTCAGTGACCACAGACCAGCATAAGCTTTCCTATGAAGGTCTTAGAACAATGGAGTGTATCCACAGTGCTGTGTTCTTGTACCTTTTCCAAACATGTTGAACCCCTGAACACCTTCTCCGATGATGCAGTCTGTGACTACATGACACAATAATCCTATGCATACATCTGTTTCAAGATTGATTCCATGCCAAACGTATCCAGCTGCTGCAGTAAGTGGTGTCCATGTTTTACCCAGCTGCTTTTACTGTGTACTGATCATACATGTACTCATGCTGACATGTTTTCTACTGCAAACCGGGCCTAACCTCTAAAACAGTTAATGCCACTGCCTGAAAGAGTGTTTAGCCACGTGGCTATCCAACATCTCAGCTTATAGGCAGCAAATCAGTAAAATACCGTATTTCCCCAATTTTAAGTCGCATTTGATTATACGTTGTATGTCTCGCCGGCCGAGCGCAGCGAGATAGGCGAGAAATGATTTCTTGCGAAATATTTTCAGTTGCAAATATGGCATCTGGTGAGTTCTTTATTAGTGAGGTTCTGCCACACGGTAAAACGTGCCAATGTACGTATGGAAACTTTGCCGCGGTACGGGATCAAGTTTCATACGGATTTTTTCATACCGTTTTCCGTGTGAAGCGCGACGGACTGGACTCCGTGTGAAAACTGAGCGTACAGAGTACATGTGGCGGGGTGTTCGTGTATGCCGCGAGCATGCTACGTACAGCAGAACCGGTGCAACGTACGAAAAATCCGTATCAAACTTCACTGCAGTTGACACGGAGTTTGGTACGTAGGTCCGTGTAGCAGAACCTCTCTATTATCGCTTCTTTCCCTGACTTCTTCAGTCAGTTTTTGAGTCTCACCAGTGTCCCTGCCCTCCCACCCTTCATTTTCTGTGCATATTCTCATTGCTTTTTTATCACTTTTGCCGTGATGTGCTTGCCATGCCTACATGATGCCTAATCGCCAATGGGGATATACACCCGGTTTTTTTCCTCACAACTGCGTCCGTCGGCGCGATGGTTTTTTCCCGGCTGGCTCGGTCCAGAAAAAGTAATCTGACGGTCCCAAGTGGTTCTGCATCATGGCCGATTTCTGCTATCCACTGGCACGCCTATTCTATCTTAGACACTCTATTCTCAGTCCTTGCTTCCATACCTCACTCGTTATCCGGTTCACATCTGACTGCGGCCCACTACCCTTCACTTTGCGTAGTGTCACTATTGCTGTCTATGTCTGTGTGTGTGCCAGTATATGTGGAGCGAGAAAGGTACATGTAATTCTCATGCCGAGACGAAACGCTAGCACAATATTCCTAATGCCCCATGACGCTGCGACCCTATTCCAATGCTAAATTAACTAACTTTGTCTGGTAGTGGATGGTACCTGTGATGAGTGACACCTATGCTGCCACAGCAGAGTAAGGAGTTTAGTGAGTCAGCAGAGTTGATGGCAGTGGGGCTTCTCGTGTTACTAGTAGTACTAGTAACACGAGAAGCCCCACTGCCATCAACTCTGCTGACTCACTAAACTCCTTACTCTGCTGTGGCAGCATAGGTGTCACTCATCACAGGTACCATCCACTACCAGACAAAGTTAGTTAATTTAGCATTGGAATAGGGTCGCAGCGTCATGGGGCATTCACTCTTGGTGCTGCAGTGTTCGATTGTAAAACATCGTGTTCAAGTTCTGTTGCCTTGCACGGGTGTACGTTTCATGGGATTCTTTTCTGATTGCATTTGCGCGCCGGCAAGTGGTCATTTCTGGCGTCAGGGATTCATTGAATTTGATTAGTTTTCAATCTGAAGAAATCATTGCCCAAGACTCCTCTCAATACGCAGAAACTGGAAAGCAGGACTTTCTTCTCAACAGGATGGCACCTTGGAAAACTGTGGCCTCAAGAGAGTACCCGTTCTATTGTAGCTGTTTGTGATGGAACGAAATTCGATTTCCACTACAAGTAGCAAATAGTCACTCTAAGAGTAATGCCAAATCAACGAACGAACAAATCATCTACTTCACTACTCTCTATCTATCAGTCATGTACTCCGAAGCATCAATTTGTGCTTTGCAAAAACGTCTTCTTACACTCCAAAAAGTGAAATTTAAAATGAGACGGAAAAATGGAGAAATGGTATATGCAGCGCAGGAGTCGTACAACTGGTGCTACGGAATGTTCATATAACAATCAGTCGAGGGAGTTGAATATTCATACAAGTTGCAATTCCTTTCATCGTTTACATGTCATGTATCGTGGCAGTGTGGAAAGCGATCGATAGATCAGATTAGAATACGAGACTAGTCAAGTCCTTTTCTAAGGTATTTCAAGTTGAAAGATAGATGACAACAATTCTCATTTACCTTGCATGCAGATTTTAAAATCTACAAGTGGTATCACACAGGTAAGTCGATTCAGAATGTCACCTCGGCGTCTTCAGAATCTCAGAATTGCACGTAGCAACGAATGATAATTAGTGGCAGAAATGTAGCAGGAATGGCGTCATGATGGCTAAAAATAGAACACAACACTTGTACTTTCCCTGAAACTAATAAATACAATATCTTCAGATAATAAATAACATACTAGTAGGTGGAAAACCCTACACACACCATCTTCAATCCAAGTGGTCTCTTCGCTCCAAATTACAATAATTCTTAAGCAATACTATAGTGTGTGTCGAGGAGAAAGAAGATTCAAGGGCTATAAATAGAAGAATTGATGCCGACAATTATGCATTGACATTGTACTTTGGGGTTGGGGCCATCCATGGCACAATGTTTAAGTACAGTTCTTCTTGCCCTTCATTTTTCGAAACTTGGCGTTAACACACTTCAAACAGTGTCTACCTTCGGTCTTCACCACCTGGCCGTGCGAGAATATGATGCCCTTATTATTCTCACAAGGAAGCTCACATCTCTTATTGCGTTTCCTCCATGCTTCCAGCTGACCAGGACAGTTAGCTCTCATCCTGCATCTGTACACAACATTTCGATGGCAAAGTCTTTCGCCCTCCCTCGTGCACTGGCTATCCATTCCTCCACCGATTCCATCCGTAAGTTCACTGCATCTACTCATTCCAGTGTCACTCGTTTTACGCAAAGATGTCGTGCCTGTAGGAAGTGACGCATTTCCAGCGCTTGAAGTTGAGACCATCTCGGCCATGCTTGCCAATGGAACTCTAGTAACTTTTGTAACGACATCAACATCACCAACATCAGCAGCAGCATCATCATCTTGATTGGAGATAATTGGTACTGCTGATACACACAGTACAACACACAAGCCGAGCGCAAGATGTAACCACACAGAGTTGGAAGCCATTTTTCTCCTCTCCTTCTGTATGTGTGGGTAGAATTGATCGTTGCTGGAAATTTCTCAAGCAGTGAACACTCTTCTGAAACTTTCTCAAGCAGTGAAGGCTCCTGCTATTCCAAACCAAAGCAACTTTTTTTCTGATTCCGTTCGCAAGTTAGTGAGATGACATTGGTGAGGTAGCTGCCTTCTTTTATACACCCCGCGTGTCGCGTCGTCACAAGATGAAAGTTGAATGTCATGAGACTCATCAGTTGATGGGAAGATAATCCTGAGGTATTATCTATCCCCAGGATTGTCAACATGAAAGTAGTTTTCCTCTGGACAAGTTCCTTCTTGTGAGGGGATATCGGGCCCAACTTCTACATCGGTGAACAAAGATTTCATCAGTATGTGCCAATCAAAGGCGATTGATGGAGTTGTGGATAACATTGTTTCATGCAGACAGATACAGGATGGAATGGCAGAGTTCGGCATCCCCATTTTGTGTATCAAAGTTGTTTTAATCCAGAATCGGTGTTGTTCAGGACCAGACGATATGTGTGCACAGCACTAGTGCGACTGTAGGCTGCGTTTTGTGTATGTTTGTCAAGGGTTGAGAGAACTGTGTAATTCATGTCAAACAGATGTCGGTGCCCACAGACCAGCATAAGCCTTCCTGTGAAGGTCTTAGAACAATGGAGTGTATTCACAGTGCTGTGTTCTTGTACCTTTTACAAACATGTTGAACCCCTGAACACCTTCTCCGATGTTTGTAGTCTGTGACTACAGGACACAATAATCCTATGCATACATCTGTTTCAAGATAGATTCCATGCCAAACGTGTCCAGCTGCTGCAGTAAGTGGTGTCCATGTTTTACCCAGCTGCTTTAACTGTGTACTGATGATACATGTACTCATGCTGACATGTTCTCTACTGGAAACCGGGCCTAACCTCTAAAACAGTTAACATTGTTATTACCTGACGATGGCCAAGTGCCGAAACGTTGTAAAAATAACGGAACTGGTTCGGATGTGATGTGCAGCGCTATGGGAATGGGTGTGTCCACCCGAATTCTTTTCACAGATGAAGCTGCAGGAAGCCTCAGCCCTTCTTCAGACAGTTAACATCACTGCCTGAAAGAGTGTTTAGCCACGTGGCTATCCAACATCTCCGCTTTTAGGCAGCAAATCAGTAAAAAATCGTATTTCCCCAATGTTAAGACGCATTTGACTATAGAGGGACATGTAATTGTCATGCCGAGACGAAACACTAGCACAATACTGCTAGTAGTAACACGAGAAGTCCCACTGGCATCAACTCTGCTGACTCACTAAACTCCTTACTCTGCTGTGCCAGCGTAGGTGTCACTCATCACAAGTAGCTTCCACTACGAGACACAGTTAATTTAAAATTTAGCATTGGAATAGGGTCGCAGCGTCATGGGGCATTCACTCTGGGTGCCGCAGTGTTCAATTGTAAAACATCGTGTTCAAGTTATGTTGCCTTGCACGGGTGTACGTATCATGGAATTTTTTTCTGATTGCATTTGCCCACCGGCAGGTGGTCATTTCTGGCGTCAGGAAATCATTGAATTTGATTAGTTTTTAATCTGAAGAAAGCATTGCCCAAGACTCCTCTCAATACGCAGAAACTGGAAAGCAGGATTTTCTTCTAAACAGGATGGCACCTTAGACAATCGTGGCCTCGAGGGAGTACCCGTTCTATTGTAGCTGTTTGTGATGGAACGAAAATCGTTTTCCACTAGCAAAAAGTCACTCTAAGAGTAATGCCAAATCAACGAACGGACATATCATCTACTTCACTATTCTCGATCTATCGGTCATGCACTCCGAAGAATCAATTTGTGCTTTGCAAGACCGTCTTCTTATACTCCAAAAAGTCAAATATAAAATGAGATGGGAAAATGGAGAAATGGTATATGCAGCGCAGGAGTCGTACAACTGGTGCTACTGAATGTTCATGTAATAATCAGTTGAGGGAGTTGAATATTCATAATTTCATACAAGTTGCAATTCCTTTCATCTGTTACATGTCATGTATCAAGGCAGTGTTGAAAGCGATCGATAGAACAGATTAGAATACGAGATTAGTCAAGTCCTATTCTAAGGTACTTCAAGTTGAAAGATAGATGACAACAATTCTCATTTACCTTGCAAGCGGATTTTAAAATCTACAAGTGGTATCACACAGGTAAGTCGATTCAGAATGTCACCTCGGCGTCTTCAGAATCTCAGAATTGCACGTAGCAACGAATGATAATTAGTGGCAGAAGTGTAGCAGGAATGGCGTCATGAAGGCTAAAAATTGAACACAACACTTGTACTTTCCCTGAAACTAATAAATACAATATCTTCAGATAATAAATAACATACTAGTAGGTGGAAAACCTTACACACACGCCATCTTCAATCCAAGTGGTCTCTTCGCTGCAAATTACAATAATTCTCAATCAATACTAGTAGGTGTCGAGGAGAAAGAAGATTCAAGGGCTATGCATTGACATTGTACTTTGGGGTTGGGGCCATCCATGGCACAATGTTTAAGTACAGTTTTTCTTGCCCTTCATTTTTCGGAACTTGGCGTTGACACACTTCAAACAGTGTCTACCTTCGGTCTTCACCACCTGGCCGTGCGAGTATCTGATGCCCTTATTATTCTCACAAGGAAGCTCACATCTCTTATTGTCCTTCCTCCATGCTTCCAGCAGACCAGGACAGTTAGCTCTCATCCTGCATCTGTACACAACATTTCGATGGCAAAGTCTTTCGCCCTCCCTCGTGCACTGGCTATCCATTCCTCCACCGATTCCATCCGTCAGTTCACTGCATCTACTCATTCCAGTGCCATTCGTTTTACGCAAAGATGTCGTGCCTGTAGGAAATGACGCATTTCCAGCGCTTGAAGTTGAGACCATCTCGGCCATGCTTGCCAATGGAACTCTAGTAACTTTTGTAACGACATCAACATCACCAACATCATCAGCAGCATCATCATCTTGATTGGAGATAATAATTGGTACTGCTGATACACACAGTACAACACACAAGCCGAGCGCAAGATGTAACCACACAGAGTTGGAAGCCATTTTTCTCCTCTCCTTCTGTATGTGTGGGTAGAATTGATCGTTGCTGGAAATTTCTCAAGCAGTGAACACTCTTCTGAAACTTTCTCAAGCACTGAAGGCTCCTGCTATTCCAAACCAAAGCAACTTTTTTTCTGATTCCGTTCGCAAGTTAGTGAGATGACATTGGTGAGGTAGCTGCCTTCTTTTATACACCCCGCGTGTCGGGTAGTCACAAAATGAAAGTTGAATGTCATGAGACTCATCACTTGATGGGAAGATAATCCTGAGGTATTGTCTATTCCCAGGATTGTCAACATGAAAGTAGTTTCTCTCTGGATAAGTTCTATCTTGTGAGGGGATATTGGGCTCATCTTCTACATCGGTGAGCAAAGATTTCATCAGTATGTGCCAATCAAAGGCGATTGATGGAATTGTGGATAATATTGTTTCATGCAGACAGATACAGGATGGAATGGCAGAGTTCGGCATCCCCATCTTGTGTATGCAAGTTGTTTTAATCCACAATCGGTGTTCCTCAGAACCAGACGATATGTGTGCACAGCACTAGTGCGACTGTAGGCTGCGTTTTGCGTGTGTTTGTCAAGGGTTGAGATAACTGTGTAATTCATGTCAAACAGATGTCGGTGCCCACAGACCAGCATAAGCCTTCCTGTGAAGGTCTTAGAACAATGGAGTGTATCCACAGTGCTGTGTTCTTGTACCTTTTACAAACATGTTGAACCCCTGAACACCTTCTCCGATGATTGTAGTCTGTGACTACATGACACAATAATCCTATGCATACATCTGTTTCAAGATAGATTCCATGCCAAACGTATCCAGCTGCTGCAGTAAGTGGTGTCCATGTTTTACCCAGCTGCTTTTACTGTGCACTGATGATACATGTACTCATGCTGACATGTTCTCTACTGCAAACCGGGCCGAACCTCTAAAACAGTTAACACCACTGCCTGAAAGAGTGTTTAGCCACGTGGCTATCCAACGTCTCAGCTTTTAGGCAGCAAATCAGTAAAAATACCGTATTTCCCCAATTTTAAGTCGCATTTGATTATACAAGTACATGTAATTCTCATGCCGAGACGAAATGCTACAACAATATTGCTAGTAGTAACACCAGAAGCCCCACTGCCATCAACTCTGCTGACTCACTAAACCCCTTACTCCGCTGTGCCAGTGTAGGTGTCACTCATCACAGGCAGCTTCCATTACGAGACAAAGTTAGTTTAAAATTTAGCATTGGAATAGGGTCGCAGCGTCATGGGGCATTCACTCTTGGTGCTGCAGTGTTCAATTGTAAAACATCGTGTTCAAGTTCTGTTGCCTTGCACGGGTGTACGTTTCATGGGATTCTTTTCTGATTGCATTTGCGCGCCGGCAGGTGGTCATTTCTGGCGTCAGGAATTCATTGAATTTGATTAGTTTTCAATCTGAAGAAAGCATTGCCCAAGACTCCTCTCAATACGCAGAAACTGGAAAGCAGGACTTTCTTCTAAACAGGATGGCACCTTGGACAATCGTGGCCTCGAGGGAGTACCCGTTCTATTGTAGCTGTTTCTGATGGAACGAAACTCGATTTCCACTAACAAATAGTCACTCTAAGAATAACGCCAAATCAACGAACGAACAAATCATCTACTTCACTACTCTCTATCTATCAGTCATGTACTCCGAAGCATTAATTTGTGCTTTGCAAGACCGTCTTCTTATACTCCAAAAAGTTAAATCTAAAATGAGACGGAAAAATGGAGAAATGGTATATGCAGCGCAGGAGTCGTACAACTGGTGCTACGGAATGTTCATATAATAATCAGTCGAGGGAGTTGAACATTCATACAAGTTGCAATTCCTTTCATCGGTTACATGTCATGTATCGTGGCAGTGTGGAAAGCGATCGATAGATCAGATAAGAATACATGATTAGTCAAGTCCTATTCTAAGGTACTTCAAGTTGAAAGATAGATGACAACAATTCTCATTTACCTTGCATGCGGATTTTAAAATCTATAAGTGGTGTCACACAGGTAAGTCGATTCAGAATATCACCTCGGTGTCTTCAGAAAATCAGAAATGCACGTAGCAACGAATGAAAATTAGCGGCAGAAGTGTAGCAGGAATGGCGTCATGAAGGCTAAAAATTGAACACAACACTTGTACTTTCCCTGAAACTAATAAATACAATATCTTCAGATAATAAATAACATACTAGTAGGTGGAAAACCTTACACACACGCCATCTTCAATCCAAGTGGTCTCTTCGCTCCAAATTACAATAATTCTCAATCAATACTAGTAGGTGTCGAGGAGAAAGAACATTCAAGGGCTATAAATAGAAGAATTGATGCCGACAGTTATGCATTGACATTGTACTTTGGGGTTGAGGCCATTCATGGCACAATGCTTATGTACAGTTTTTCTTGCCCTTCATTTTTCGAAACTTGGCGTTAACACACTTCAAACAGTGTCTACCTTCGGTCTTCACCACCTGGCCGTGCGAGAATATGATGCCCTTATTATTCTCACAAGGAAGCTCACATCTCTTATTGTCCTTCCTCCATGCTTCCAGCTGACCAGGACAGTTAGCTCTCATCCTGCATCTGTACACAACATTTCGATGGCAAAGTCTTTCGCCCTCCCTCGTGCACTGGCTATCCATTCCTCCACCGATTCCATCCGTCAGTTCACTGCATCTACTCGTTCCAGTGACATTCGTTTTACGCAAAAATGCTGTGCCTGTAGGAAATGACGCATTTCCAGCGCTTGAAGTTGAGACCATCTCGGCCATGCTTGCCAATGGAACTCTAGTAACTTTTGTAACGACATCAACATCACCAACATCATCAGCAGCATCATCATCTTGATTGGAGATAATAATTGGTACTGCTGATACACACAGTACAACACACAAGCCGAGCGCAAGATGTAACCACACAGAGTTGGAAGCCATTTTTCTCCTCTCCTTCTGTATGTGTGGGTAGAATTGATCGTTGCTGGAAATTTCTCAAGCAGTGAACACTCTTCTGAAACTTTCTCAAGCACTGAAGGCTCCTGCTATTCCAAACCAAAGCAACTTTTTTTCTGATTCCGTTCGCAAGTTAGTGAGATGACATTGGTGAGGTAGCTGCCTTCTTTTATACACCCCGCGTGTCGGGTAGTCACAAAATGAAAGTTGAATGTCATGAGACTCATCACTTGATGGGAAGATAATCCTGAGGTATTGTCTATTCCCAGGATTGTCAACATGAAAGTAGTTTCTCTCTGGATAAGTTCTATCTTGTGAGGGGATATTGGGCTCATCTTCTACATCGGTGAGCAAAGATTTCATCAGTATGTGCCAATCAAAGGCGATTGATGGAATTGTGGATAATATTGTTTCATGCAGACAGATACAGGATGGAATGGCAGAGTTCGGCATCCCCATCTTGTGTATGCAAGTTGTTTTAATCCACAATCGGTGTTCCTCAGAACCAGACGATATGTGTGCACAGCACTAGTGCGACTGTAGGCTGCGTTTTGCGTGTGTTTGTCAAGGGTTGAGATAACTGTGTAATTCATGTCAAACAGATGTCGGTGCCCACAGACCAGCATAAGCCTTCCTGTGAAGGTCTTAGAACAATGGAGTGTATCCACAGTGCTGTGTTCTTGTACCTTTTACAAACATGTTGAACCCCTGAACACCTTCTCCGATGATTGTAGTCTGTGACTACATGACACAATAATCCTATGCATACATCTGTTTCAAGATAGATTCCATGCCAAACGTATCCAGCTGCTGCAGTAAGTGGTGTCCATGTTTTACCCAGCTGCTTTTACTGTGCACTGATGATACATGTACTCATGCTGACATGTTCTCTACTGCAAACCGGGCCGAACCTCTAAAACAGTTAACACCACTGCCTGAAAGAGTGTTTAGCCACGTGGCTATCCAACGTCTCAGCTTTTAGGCAGCAAATCAGTAAAAATACCGTATTTCCCCAATTTTAAGTCGCATTTGATTATACAAGTACATGTAATTCTCATGCCGAGACGAAATGCTACAACAATATTGCTAGTAGTAACACCAGAAGCCCCACTGCCATCAACTCTGCTGACTCACTAAACCCCTTACTCCGCTGTGCCAGTGTAGGTGTCACTCATCACAGGCAGCTTCCATTACGAGACAAAGTTAGTTTAAAATTTAGCATTGGAATAGGGTCGCAGCGTCATGGGGCATTCACTCTTGGTGCTGCAGTGTTCAATTGTAAAACATCGTGTTCAAGTTCTGTTGCCTTGCACGGGTGTACGTTTCATGGGATTCTTTTCTGATTGCATTTGCGCGCCGGCAGGTGGTCATTTCTGGCGTCAGGAATTCATTGAATTTGATTAGTTTTCAATCTGAAGAAAGCATTGCCCAAGACTCCTCTCAATACGCAGAAACTGGAAAGCAGGACTTTCTTCTAAACAGGATGGCACCTTGGACAATCGTGGCCTCGAGGGAGTACCCGTTCTATTGTAGCTGTTTCTGATGGAACGAAACTCGATTTCCACTAACAAATAGTCACTCTAAGAATAACGCCAAATCAACGAACGAACAAATCATCTACTTCACTACTCTCTATCTATCAGTCATGTACTCCGAAGCATTAATTTGTGCTTTGCAAGACCGTCTTCTTATACTCCAAAAAGTTAAATCTAAAATGAGACGGAAAAATGGAGAAATGGTATATGCAGCGCAGGAGTCGTACAACTGGTGCTACGGAATGTTCATATAATAATCAGTCGAGGGAGTTGAACATTCATACAAGTTGCAATTCCTTTCATCGGTTACATGTCATGTATCGTGGCAGTGTGGAAAGCGATCGATAGATCAGATAAGAATACATGATTAGTCAAGTCCTATTCTAAGGTACTTCAAGTTGAAAGATAGATGACAACAATTCTCATTTACCTTGCATGCGGATTTTAAAATCTATAAGTGGTGTCACACAGGTAAGTCGATTCAGAATATCACCTCGGTGTCTTCAGAAAATCAGAAATGCACGTAGCAACGAATGAAAATTAGCGGCAGAAGTGTAGCAGGAATGGCGTCATGAAGGCTAAAAATTGAACACAACACTTGTACTTTCCCTGAAACTAATAAATACAATATCTTCAGATAATAAATAACATACTAGTAGGTGGAAAACCTTACACACACGCCATCTTCAATCCAAGTGGTCTCTTCGCTCCAAATTACAATAATTCTCAATCAATACTAGTAGGTGTCGAGGAGAAAGAACATTCAAGGGCTATAAATAGAAGAATTGATGCCGACAGTTATGCATTGACATTGTACTTTGGGGTTGAGGCCATTCATGGCACAATGCTTATGTACAGTTTTTCTTGCCCTTCATTTTTCGAAACTTGGCGTTAACACACTTCAAACAGTGTCTACCTTCGGTCTTCACCACCTGGCCGTGCGAGAATATGATGCCCTTATTATTCTCACAAGGAAGCTCACATCTCTTATTGTCCTTCCTCCATGCTTCCAGCTGACCAGGACAGTTAGCTCTCATCCTGCATCTGTACACAACATTTCGATGGCAAAGTCTTTCGCCCTCCCTCGTGCACTGGCTATCCATTCCTCCACCGATTCCATCCGTCAGTTCACTGCATCTACTCGTTCCAGTGACATTCGTTTTACGCAAAAATGCTGTGCCTGTAGGAAATGACGCATTTCCAGCGCTTGAAGTTGAGACCATCTCGGCCATGCTTGCCAATGGAACTCTAGTAACTTTTGTAACGACATCAATATCACCAACATCATCAGCAGCATCATCATCTTGATTGGAGATAATAATTGGTACTGCTGATACACACAGTATAACACACAAGCCGAGCGCAAGATGTAACCACACAGAGTTAGAAGCCATTTTTCTCCTCTCCTTCTGTATGTGTGGGTAGAATTGATCGTTGCTAGAACTTTCTCAAGCAGTGAACACTCTTCTGAAACTTTCTCAAGCAGTGAAGGCCCCTGCTATTCCAAAACAAAGAAACTTTTTTCTGATTCCGTTCGCAAGTTAGTGAGATGACATTGGTGAGGTAGCTGCCTTCTTTTATACACCCCGCGTGTCGCGTCGTCACAAGATGAAAGTTGAATGTCATGAGACTCATCACTTGATGGGAAGATAATCCCGAGGTAATGTTATCGTCTAACCCCAGGATTGTCAACACGAAAGTAGTTTTCCTCTGGATAAGTTCTACCTTGTGAGGGGATATTGGGCCCATCTTCTACATCGGCGAACAAATATTTCATCAGTATGTGCCAATCAAAGGCTATTGATGGAGATCATGGAGTTGTGGATAATACTGTTTCATGCAGACAGATGCAGGATGGAATGGCAGAGTTCGGCATCCCAAACTTGGTTATACAAGCTGTTTTAATCCAGAATCGGTGTTGTTCAGGATCAGCCGATAGGTGTGTACCGCAGTGCAGTGTAACACCAGTGGTGGGTCCGTAGGCTGTGTTTTTTTGTGTATGTTTGTCAAGGGCTGAGAGAACTGTGTAATTCATGTCAAACAGATGTCGGTGACCACCGACCAGAATGAGCCTTCCTGTGAAGGTCTTAGAACAATGCAGTGTATCCACAGTGCTGTGTTCTAGTACCTTTTCCAAACATGTTGAACCCCTCAACACCTTCTCCGATGATTGTAGTCTGTGACTACAGGACACAATAATCCTATGCATACATCTGTTTCAAGATAGATTCCATGCCAAACGTATCCAGCTGCTGCAGTAAGTGGTGTCCATGTTTTACCCAGCTGCTTTTACTGTGTACTGATGATACATGTACTCATGCTGACATGTTCTCTACTGCAAACCGGGCCGAACCTCTAAAACAGTTAATGCCACTGCCCTACTTTTTTTAAAGAATGTTTCAGCCATGTGGCTAATTCAACCTCTCAGCTTTGAGTAGTAGATAAACAGGGTCCGGCACATTGGACTATTTCATTGCCATTCCAGAAATGACGGACAAACCGCTTGAATTTTGATGAAAAGAACACTTTTTTGGTCGGATTATTTTTTTTGAATTTCTGTCGAAGTATAAATCTAAAGAAAATCCAGACAATTGCTTTACACATGTGTGAAGTGAACAGTTTAACCGCAACATTGTTTCAATGAAAGCAGTTCCAGAGCAGCAGCACACTAACAATAATCACATCGGAATACCTCTAGTGGCTGGGAAATTTTGTGCTGGCATCATCTGTACTGAAGGTAGTTTTTCCAGCAGTTTAGTGTGGCATTGTGCTAGGGAGATAATACTAGCAATTGCAGTGAGGAGTAAGTACAAGTGATTGTTGGCATGGAGTAAATACTACTGATTGTGCTGTGCTCAGACTTCGAAGAATAACATGCGCGGCCATGGGGAAACCTGGGACTGGTACATGTACTTGTAAAAACGGAATACAGATCAGGAGTGACAATGGAGAAACGTTCTGTGTGCGGGCGTATGTGTGTGTGTGTTTGTGTGTGTGTGTGTGTGTGTGCATGTGCGAGTAATGAAGCACGAGCATCGGGTACCATACGGCAGAGGAGGAGAGGAGGTGTCATGGTAAACGTCAGGGATGGGTAGAACTGGTGGGAGAGAGGAAGTGCTTAGAATTGCCGGTGACGGCTGTGCAACACATAGATGTGCTGAGTGCGGCGGCTTGTTGTCCTGGAATGGCGGTGCCAAACCAGGCTACTACACATTTCGAAGCATGAATCTATTGTACACACACAGACCTGTATCTTTTTCTTTGTCATACTTGGGTTTGGGATTGGATGTCGGAGGTAGTTGTTGACGGTTGCCTTGTGGGTTTCAATCGCCAATAAGACATTGGTTGTTTTGTCCGGTGGATAGCATTCGAAAAGACGTGGACCACAAATTCCCAAGCAACCGGATTCTGGCACCAGAGAATTCCGGAGTGTCTTGAATGGTTACACCACTTCAGTATGTAGCCTGCTGGGATTATTTTCTTCTCATCATCGGGCCTTTTTCAGGGTTTTTCATAATTATTCAACAGAAATCTTGTGGTGGTGGTGGTGGTGGTGGTGGTGGTGGTGGAAGCAGATAAAAGACTTCAGTTGCTCAAGTAAAGCTCATCATTTCCAAGGAGAGCAATCAGAAAAGGATTGTCTCAGCTTCAAAGTGAAACGGAATATCTCTGTCTTATCGTATCAAAATACCGAAAGCTGCAAGCATACTCTAACCATGAAAGTACCACAACATGTGCTGGATGATACAAGCCATCTACAGTCAAGAGAAGTGGATCCAATCCGCTTAGAGCATGATTGCGTGTACAGCGAGAGAGAAATAACAACAAGCGAACAAGCAGGGAAAGCAAGCCACGTCAACCTCTAAAACAAAAATCTATCTGCGATCAATGCAATCTTGGGAGGGATGCAATTTTAACTATACAAATTCTGTTTGTGCCAAGAGAAACCAAAAAGCACAAGGCAACGAAAAACGAGTAAAGCACACAGAGACCAGAAGAGAAGTCCTGTCACAGCCGCGACCGCTTGAGAACACTGTTGACACATTTTATGCACACGCATAAGCCACGTGCCGAGCTTCCATAGCGAAAAATCTATCTGCGATCAATGCAATCTTGGGAGGGATGCAATTTTAACTATACAAATTCTGTTTGTGCCAAGAGAAACCAAAAAGCACAAGGCAACGAAAAACGAGTAAAGCACACAGAGGCCAGAAGAGAAGTCCTGTCACAGCCGCGAACGCTTGAGAACACTGTTGACACATTTTATGCACACGCATAAGCCACGTGCCGAGCTTCCATAGCGCTCACCGCCACAGGGACGCCTGGTCCTGCGATGCCGGCAGACTGTCTCCAGATGACCGAGAGGCACGCCTTTAGACCAGCACGGCTGATTGCAGAGCCTAGTAGTGCGCCGCAAGTAGAAACGTTGATCGCGACGGCGGCCGGGAAGGGCCATGCAGACAAAGCGCACACCACCGATGCAAAGTCGAGATGACTGCTGCGCGCTGCACTTGTTATTCCGGTCGCTCAGCAACATCAGCGGCACCGGGTCTGGGATTTCATCATCATCATCATCATCATACTCTCCGTGTTCCGCAAGGCTGTTGCTGAGTCCAATGCCAACCATACCAATCGCAGCTGTCTCGGTTCTAGCGTTACTGGTGCTCGCGTTCCTGCTGGCGGTTGCAGAGTTAACGTCATCATACATATCAGTAGATGCAACGACGGGTGAGCGTGAAGTTGCAGCCGGAACATGAGACGTACTGTTTACAGAAATCGACGTGCTTGCAATCAGGCAGATAGCCAACACACCCCTGCTGGCCATGAGCATACAGGCAGAAAGGCCAGTGCCGCTGCCATAGGCCATGCTAATGCTGGCAACGTAGGAAGGAGACACACGCCACTGAAAGAACACGTTGGAAATCACGGAGGCCACGCTCACTCAGCACTGCAGCAACGCTCTCGACGGTGCACGCCACAGTACGAAGGCAGGTGGTGAAGTAGAACTCACTATAGCTACTCAGTGATCACAACTGAGGAGCTTGAAGAAAGCACCGGTCTTTTATACTTAGAAGAGAGCCGCTTGCCTATGCAGGTTGTCTCCATAGTGAAAATAGACTCCGCTGGAGTGGTAGCAAGTCTCAGGCAGGAAGTGGCAAGGGCATGATGGAACTAGCAGATACCACAGTTTGCAGAGGCCTTTCCAAGTCTTAACAAGAACCGAACGCGTCGGTAAGCCTCTCACAGCATCTTGAGGCTGTGCGGTAGCGAACAACAAGTGTGCCCACCACAGCAATTTCATACCAGGAGCAACAGCACTGGGTGAAAAAGAGGACAGTGTCGAAAGGTGTGTGTACAATCAGCAAAGGCATGACATCGTGCAGGCAATTACCGCATCACGTCGCCATGTCGTCCACAAGAGCAATACTATTTTCACCGCCCACCGTCATAGAAGAAGTCAAGGTGCCTAATTTATTCCCGGTCCATCCGGACTGCTGCACTCAGCCGGTTCAGTGCTGTCTATTCATATCTGATCCAGCATTGGCCGGCGTAGGAGCAGGCATGGACAGCAGAGGAGCAGGCATGGACAGCAGAGGAGCAGGTATACGCTGTGTGTACTCTTCGCTACAGATGATCCTTACACATCACTGACACACTAACAGGTAGTAGATACATGTACAGTAGCAGGTTACAGTCTTACATCACAAGGCTCTACATAGGTACTGGATGTGTCACATGCCTGAATACACACCCAAGACATGTACACAGGCACATGCCAGGTGAGTCACAGCAAGTCATAGGAATGACGTACCACGCTACACACAAAGACCGGAACAGAAATGCTCAAGGGACGTCGACCCGACACCAGGACACCAAATCACTGCTTCACGAGAAACTGCCAGCTTGCATCTCACATACCCTGTAACGTGTTCTTGGTCAGTCAGATAAGCCATAAGCCCACTGCACGACACAGACAGGGATAGCCAGCTGTTGATGAATTGATGAACATTTAGGGGACTTCCCCTCCACGATGCCTCATTACAAGAGCACTGGAAAAAAGTGCACTGCTAGCGGGAATCCACATCATCAGTGTGGCACTAGCTGGAAGCTGAGAATGTGATGTTAATTGCACTATTAGTTCACTGAAGAAATGCAAGATAGCTAAGTTAAGCACACACAAACAAATGCACACACACACACGCGCGTGCGCGCACGAGAACGCACACACACACACACACACACACACACACAAACACACACACACACACACACACACACACACACACACACACAAACACACACACACACACCAGCACGGCACAGCACAGGACAGTCCGACTGCAAGTCAACGACACCGACAGGTAGCAGGAGCAACCTAGCAAACGTCACATTACACTACTACCACTTCAGGCATACATGCAATGTGCTCACACTACACTACTACCACTTCAGGCATACATGCAATGTGCTCACATCATCATCAGCATCCTCCTCCTCCTCCTCCTCCTCATCATCATCATCATCATCATGATTGGCCGCATCACTGCACAGACAGACAAGCACCTCGTAACCTCATCCCTGGAACACCATGGACAGCACGACTAACCCTACAAGGAACCAATGATGCCACATCATATTGTGTCCCAGAGAATACATCTCAGTACAACTTCCTGATACGAGCTGCACGCTTGCAGCATGTTGCAACGCATCATGATCATACATGTACGTCAACACACTAGCATGAAGTAATACAATAATTACACGAAGTACAAGTCATGCACCGACAGGCTCACCTGGCAACACAGAAGGATATCAACCACGATTACAGGCAGGGGCATGGCACGTAGACACTTACACTTATTAAATCTAGAACACGACATGTGAGGAAAAGGTCCCCCACTGAGAAAGAGAAGCTTGCCAATAAGACACGGAAAAACTGACCTGGCTGGTAGCTGTCTCACCATGGGTATTCCCCAGCACAGACCACCACACACGCATGCACACATATTTGCAGGTACATGTTGATCCATGAGGAATTGGCACATGTCCCACGTGCACAAGGCCCCGGCGAGAAATTGGCGTATGTCCCAAAAGGCCCCGCCAGTTTCGATGCGCCACGCGTCCTTTTACAAACAGGAACAAAGGGAAGCTACCACACAAGAAAGAAGAGATGTTGATTGTGCCAACTGGACACATCAATAATCACCAGTGGTAAGACAAGAGCTAAATCCTCGGGCGAACCAAGACCAAGATCAACAGCAGGTCCTACAAACTCATTACCGCCAGAGCAGTCCGGTAACAAGCTGATTCTGAACAAGGCACGACCTGTGATAGACGCACGGCACGGATCCAAGAAGACAGCCCATGCTGCCCAGAATAGTTTGCAAGACAAGACGGTGGTGCCCAGTGCACTGCTTACCAGCTGCTCAGTGTTCCAGATTCGTTACAAATAGCCTGTGTTAGCATCTCATTGAACCTTGCAACAACACCTAAGGGCACGATAAGCAACTAAAGACAACGCACAGTAAAGCCTTACTGCACTTAACCCCCTCAGCCTGGCTGTCTCTGTGCTTAACGAACGCCCCCCCCCCCCCCAAACTTCCTGCACTTATCACAACACCAACAACGGTCCATCACACGCCAGTCAGAACTGACAGATATGCACACACACAGTGTCACACACACCAAATATACTAGTCATGGCCACCGGGATCGGTGCGACACGGTACTGCTATATCACCAACACACCACTACTGGAGGCATGGAAAGGTCTGCTCAGAGCCCAGAAAGGAAAGGAGCATACATGTTTCCACACAGTGACTAGTTGCAAGTCACGTTGAACACATCTTCTTTTTAGTTTTACTTCGGTGTTTCCCACAGACCACTGGCACTTCTTCTGAACACTTACAAACAACACGGCCAACTATTCTAGTAACGCAAACGCCACAACTTACCAAACAAAGTTCCAGTAATTGCTTCCTTTCAATTTTCACGATCTGACCTCGAGTCCCGCATGGCAAAGCACCAAGATGCTGTCGGCAGCGATCAGTTCCATTTCCTTCCTTCCAAAGGCTTGTCCCCCGCAGTATAACATTTCCTTCCTTCCAAAGGCTTGTCCCCCGCAGTATAACATTTCCTTCCTTCCAAAGGCTTGTCCCCCGCAGTATAAGAAAGAGTGCTCAGTGAGTGCCGGCCGCTCAACGTGCGGAAAAAATTCAAAAAAAGCATTCTACCTATTAGATGGTTAGATTTGCGGTGGTTGCCCGAGCAACCTGTTCAAGCTTCCAGCGTGTAGCCGGGGATTCTTTAACCGCATCTGCTATGAATTCCCTGCCCAAACGTCCATATACATCTACTCGCTAAATCTAACAACATCGCCAGTTCGATTAGCCCAGAGAAAAGAACATGACGAAAGACCTGCTGTGGCTAAACCATGCACAATCTAAGCAAAGCAAATGACATGCAACACTCACTTGGTACATATTCCGGAAGACATCCACAACGCCGTCGTCAAAGATGACGTCCCAGAAGAACAGGCCAAAGAGAGCCCCAAACGTGCTTCCCTCGGCGTGAATGCCACACTCGAACCCCTCCTCGCACCGATAGTGCTCCATGGCCAGCTCCTCCACCGAGAGCAGCATGATGTGTCTGCTCTCAGACTCATCTTCAGGTGCTGCAGCAGCGCTGCTGGCAGCATCACCACCACCAGGCATGGTGTCTTTGTCCGTGTGAGGAGTGTAGTTGCGCATGAAATAAGACTTTGCGCCCGTTGATGTGCCCGGGTACATGCGTCCAGTGATCTCAACCTGAGAAACGCAAACAATAAAAAAACACGGTCATCTTACACGCACATGCATTCCCTACTACCAAAAGTACATAACCAAGAGTGTGCAACTCCTATCTCGAGCTGTGATGTGTTCACCTACGGTGGAATTTTTTTTATTGCCTGTCATTCTTTGGCGGTGGTATGATGACGTGTGTATGCTTTCCCGTGCTTGTTTTGTAGATACGGCGAGAGTTCATCAGGTTCAGGACACATCGATCTATCGTCCGTTGTTCTGCTTTGCTACCGAGCAGTCTTCGATCTCGGGCTACGCATGATGGCATCCGTGAGCCAAACAGCCGCCAGACTGATGTCATAAAAAAATTCCGCCGTGGGCTGGGGGATCGTTGAGTTGCACACTCTTGGTTATGTACTCTTGATACTGATCCTAGAGGGTGGTGGCGTTCCCACGGCGGATGCGGAAAACTCGGCTTTCAGCCGAGTCTCACGCGAACCGTGAAATTTTTATTTTATTTTATTATACTACCTACCACCACCACATACTGTAAAGTGAGAAACTTTCGCTAGAGATTAAATTTCACCATTTTCGCGAACATCACCAATTCACGAATATAAACCGTCGTGAATTTCTCTGCTAATTGGTTGTAGACAGTACAAGATCCAACTGAATAGATGACATCGCGAATGTTTCTCATCGTGAACCAGAGCAATTCTTGAAAATATAAAATTTGCGCGCTGTGAAAGTTTATCGCTTTACAACTACCAGTATATGAATTCCTTACCTCCCCCCCCCCCCCCCCCCCCCCCCCACACACACACGTACACAAGGTGATGACAGTCACAAGCACTCACAACTAACCTCTTTGGCCACCAATAGGTCGGGCGCAGGGAAGCCACTCAGCCGGCTACGCAGGCCTTGGCTCGCGGACGCAGCCGAGCACAGGCGGACACCACGCTGCTGCAGGGCTAAGCGATGTCCCGTGACTACGTGCTCGTCGCTGAGCGCTTTCTCCACCACATCCATAGCCTGTAGCGAAGACACAACACACAACAATCTCATACCATATTAACAAGTTCTGAAATACAACATGTTACATAGTACCCAACGAGGAACAAGACAAACATACACTACACACAAGCAAGTACAGTCAAACCTCTTTAGGACGAACACCAAGGGACCGATGATATTTGTTCGAAATAACGGGAGTTCTTCTTATCCGTATGTTTATATCCAGTGAATACACAGTGATTTATCCAATGGAGTTACGAATACTAGTTCTTCTTAAGCAAACATTTGTCTTATCAGTGTTCTTCCTAACGAGGTTTCACTGTAATACTGTAAAAACCGGAAAGTTTAACGACCAACAAGTTTAACGTTTTTGTAATTTTGGCATGATAACGTGCAGAAAGTTTAACGATGGCTACCTGGCCACCCATCTGTATGCGCATCTTTACACAGACATCTCAGACCGGGTTCACGATAACGTTTTTTTCAAATAACGAAAAAAATATTGGTCGTTAAAACGTTAGACTTTGTGACTGGTTAGACTTTCCGGTTATACATTACACCATGATGATGAGCATCACAATGACAGTACACTTACATAGAATAGTACAATATAGATTTCGAACGCCGGATTTTGGCCGAATTAAGGCTTACACTAGGAAGTTAGTAACCCTATTTTAGAGTAGAACAACCTGGATTTGGGATCTGCTTCTCCAAACATTTGCGCACCTGTCCTAATTTTGTAAAACCTGGTCTAACTTTCCATCTGTTGTGCCCTGTTATCGCACTTTCTGACTGCTTATTATCTTGTTACAGTCGTGGATAGTTGCTTCACAACTCGTTTCCTTGTGTTTTCTTCTTCTATTTTACATTCATTTACTGGCTTATTATCCGAGTTAACTTTCTATCCTTTGGCGTTTCTGGCCACAAAAGCGGCATTGGAATACTGCACTGGTCACACAATGTAGTTGTTTTCACATATTTACGAGCTCGTACTACTCAGTGCCCCGGCACCGGGATTTCAAGTGCTCCGACCAAACGGGGATACTTGACCGGAAACGACCATTATTCACGATAAACCCCGTTTCGCACCAATTGGATGGCTTCACTTTTTTGAAACCCGGTCCGGCCATGGCCCCACTGGCTGGACCGGGTGCTACGGCCCTGCTACTGCACTGTTTAAAGCCTGGTAACTACGCTGACGTTACCTCATCCCGCTGCTTCAAGTGCTGGTCCAAGTCCAGGGCTAAGCGGTCATACCATCTACCACGCGACGAGTGACAGAAAGGACCACCGAGGAGCTGGCGCAGCAGGCCAGTCGCCACGGGGTACATCCGATGCCGTTCCAGCACATCGACGCATTGCGACATGAGCCGAGACAGGACCCAGCCGTCGGTGAAACGCAGCAGAAACTGAGGTCGGTCAACTGCACGTGAGTACAAACACATGCATACGCACACACGCACGCACGCACACACACACACACACACGCACACACACACACACACGTGCATGCATGCACACACACGTGCACGCATGCACACACACACACACACACACACACACACACACACACACACACACACACACCACACACACGCACACACACACACACACACACACATATACACACACGTGCACGCATGCACACACACACACACACACACACACACACACACACACACACACACACACATATACACACATGCGCACACACACAGGCCATCACAGACAGACACACACACACACACACCTTAGGCCTTAGACATTAGACACCCATCGCCGTAGGTGATGATAGCCATACTACAGCATAAGCCATAGCAACACGTGATATACTTGAAGACGAGGTCGAATGTTTCGTCTTCAGAGCTCCCGTGCCTTGCAAAGACTATTTGCTACATCTCCTTCAAAGTCACTTTTGCTGTGTTTAAAGTACATGACTATACTAGTATTCATGGAGTGCGAGGGCTAGAATAAGGTCACTGATATGCACACACAAGAAATCGTTAGCACTCGTTTTGAACATTAGCGACTATCAACTGCACTCCTAATAATCGATATGCGAGTTATCGGTACTTGACAGTATAACCATTTCAGCCTCAGCTATTCCTGGTGCCTCGTTGAGCCAGGGGGGGGGGGGGTCAACAACTTGCTGCTTCTACGGTGTTTCCACTCCGACAGAGTTCTAGAATGCAGTCACAGTGAAGTTCATCGGCATTCACACATTCCCACATTCCCACATCAGCCACTCCGTGACTTCCAGTTCCAATATGCTTTCCCATTTTTTTTACAAAATAAAGTTCGTGCCAGGATGGAAGCGCAGACGTGGGCAAACCCATGCGCAGCCAGTCAGAACACACAGGTCCGTGCCTACATCGAATGGCGGCAAGCCGAAGGTCGAATTGCGCCTGCCGCAGCTGCTGTGTGCGACGTCATGGCGCTGTGAACTCGCGATTCCTAAAAGGTGCTAATCATGTATGTCCTACCTGCATACTGCCAGGGTTTGTTTCTCATGCATTCGTCAAACATTGGCCTGGAGCCGTTGTATGCATCGAGAGCAGCGCACCACTGACTGTTCTCCTTGGCGGAAAGAATCTCATGTTCCAACTCCAAAGCTGTACAAAACCTGTCCAAAAGCAAAGCAGAGTAGAGAAACACCGGGTACGTGTATTGCTACAGATCTGGCCAATGGCATCAACTGACATGTACTAGCGTAAGCAAAACACCATAATTATATAAAAGTGCATCAGTACCGTTCATCAGCAAAATAAGAGGGACACCACCATTGTGTTTGATAGCAGTTTTTGGACACTGTACGGCAGTCTCCTGACCTGGGCAGCATATCCTTGTCCCAGAACCAGAGAAAGTAGACCTGTTGAGTATCATCGACTCGAGTAATCATTGTCGGTTCGTGTGTCCATCGGGGACGAACGAGGGCCGAACGACAACGTAATAATTATCTTAGTGTTGTTTTCTCTCGAGTCAGAGTGACGTGTTGCTCATACAGTACTATCGGGCAGCGCCGAAGAACGGGGGGGGGGGGGGGGGGGATCAGGGTTCTAGCCTAGCCGAAGAACGGGGGGGGGGGGGGGATCAGGGTTCTAGCCTAGCCCGTTCTTATTTTTAGCCAACACAGCAGTTTCGTTCTTATTTGATGGTACAGTCTTACATGTACATTTATGCAGAGTTATACGTCTGAGTGTACATTATAGTGTACATTACGGTTTCCGTCCTTATCTTCAAAAATCCAGCCTAGACCGTTCTCAAAAAATGGTGAAATTCTATCCTGGCCGTTCTTCGGCGCCCAACAGTACCGTAAGCCACTAGTGTGACTTGTGCTCGAAAAACGAAGCTATCCAGTACTCACGAACGATGTCGTTTGACTTCTGGGATGTTGTTGTCCTGCCAGCATGGCATGACATGACTCGATGCCAGATTACTGACGAAGCATTCAAGAAGGCTTTCATGGTAATTGATGAGCATCATCCATGTATCAGCAGAGATCCCATGCTGAGGAGACACCTGATGGTTAGTAAGGAGTATTTCACCATCACAAGGAGTTAGGAAGAAAAACTTGTTAGTCAGCTATGTTAGCTGGGTGATTACCCACAAGAGAGGACCATCAGGTGTCCAGAACTTCATTCAAGACATCCAGTCTTCAACTTTCCCGCCCAGAGTTGCTGTCGGTGGACTGCTGGAGAGAATTCGGAAAGCTCGTAAGAATGATCATCCTGATGAAGATGTCAAGGATCCTTATTTCTAAACAAGGGTTGTCAAGAGCAACTTACCAAAGATCATCGGCAACCAAGCAACTGTACAAGATATAGTGCTCACAGAAGTATTTGGGGATGTGGTGCTAGATGAAAAGTGCGCCGGCACTTATCGAACGGCATGTGAGGTGGCCGGTCATGAGCGTGATCTTCCACTTTGCTGCCAATCAGCAATTGGGGGATCTTCACTGTACGCCGTGTACAGCTTTCAGTTTCTCTTTCATTGGTTGCGTCGTCCTGAGCTCACCCCACGAATGGGACAAGGTTTCCTGATCAAGATCGGCCGTGAGAGAGGATGTGGTGGGAGTAGTCTATTGTTGAATTTAGGTATTGATTCACAGAGCGATAGAGGTACCGCGATATCAATGGTGAATGATGAAGGTGCGGTTGCAGTGCGAGAAGGATTGAGCAATGCAGTTGAAGATTACTCGCTTCCGAGAACTGGCTCCTACAGCCAGCCAATGCCCAGTGCCAACTCCTCCGCTCAGCTCGCTGCTCTGATTGCTGCCAGTAATGACCTCATGAGAGACTCAGTCCCGGGTCCTACAGTCCAGACCTTTAAGCCCCATATTTCCACATTCATAAAGTTTCATTAAATCCATTCTTTTCCCCCTCTTATCCCCACCGCTGAACATAATTACATCCTTTACTTCCGACCTCTTTGTTACAAAATGCCTGTCGCTGTCGACTATCCGCGTGTGCATTCATGTCGGTTAATAGATTTCAATGAGTGCAACAAGTACTTCACAAACAGAGAAGACGCTGATATAAGGCCACCGAGGATGTACACGCAACATCTCAGCGACCCGTACAGCTGGAGCAGCCAATACTAGTAATCGGGTAAGCGTGGAGAAGCAGGCCAACCGCCAAAACAGCAAACCACACATACCTTAGGAAGGAGTCACGGTCCGGGAACAGCTTGGTTTCCTTTCTAATGGTATACGTGGGGTACACAATGCTACCGTTAGCCGAGAGTAGCAGGTTGTATCTACGACAAGTACATTTTGAAGAAACAAAGTGTCCACATCAGAGCATCTGGTAAAAGGAGAGCGATCGCTCTCGCGCGCCTTTGCTCTCCCTATTTTCATTTTGGGCGCACTTTTCGTCGCGCACCTTGAGAATTTCGAGCGCATCTGCATCACTATGTGCATTCTGCAACTTGTGACACTTAAATATTTCGTAACTCGGCTTTCCCTGAACGGAATTGAGTAATCGACAGGTATATCGCATTAGAACGTTGTCAGCTGTCGGCTCCAACACATCAGAAGTCCATCTAAGGTCGAATAGTGGAGTTACGGCACTCGCAAGGTATTTTACGTCCCGTTGCAAATTTTCACTTCCGCAATTGGGTGACAATCATCATATTATTATTTTTGACATGAAGGATTTCCCTCTGTTGCATGACAGTCCAGGCATGCATAGACCTGTTTGACGTCAGGCACAGGTCTTTAGCGGTCAGCTACAAAAGAAAGGAGCGCTCTAGCTCTACGATGAATGCCACAAAAATACCATGAACCTTAGCCTCAATTTCTCGTTGTGCGTGTCTTCCCAGGGCTATACTCCCCTATAGTGCCACTGCAGTAGCACTCTAGCTGGTGAAAATCCCACTGGTGTGTTCCTCTTGCCAATAGCTTTCCAGAATGCTTGAGATTAATAGTCAAAATTGATGAAGGGAAACTAAAGTTGTGGTCCGAACAGCTTCCATTTATAGTGCGTACGGTAACTATCCAGAAAGAATTTGGCAGCTATTGGGTATTGAATCCGATTACGGTGTGGCAAGATGTTGAAAAAACCCGTATTGTGCTCGCCTTGGATAGATAAGGCGAGCGATTATTTTTTGGGAGGGGGGGGGGTGGTGGGGACTGCTCTCCCACTACTCTCCTTGAGAGGATCGCGAGAGTGATGGTTCACTCTCCTGGATTTTTCTTACACGAAGGTCTGCACATCATGCACTGGAGCCAAAAAAGAATACCAGCTATGTCTGCTGTACTGCCCACAAAACCAAGAGCTAAGCCTAAGTTACTTGTAGCAACAGTCACTTCGGGAGTCGTTCAAAACGATCAAAAGTTAATTCACACTGCAGTATATGTGCATTGCTACATGCAATTCTCTTCTCCCGTTTCTGTTTCCGCCCACCTCCTGCCCATTTGATTTCCCGAAGGTGCTAGCCGGTTGCCTCAGCTCCTAGTCACTTACATGACGGTGCTGCTGCCATTGCTCAATTGACTATCATCATCCAACCAAGAAGCAACTGCAAAGAGGTGAACGAGGCGAACAAAGACGTTGCGTGCCGACGGCAGCAGCTGAACACACTTACCCAGCAAGGACTTTGCCCTGGATGACAAGACAGATAGAACGAGTCACACAGATAAGGACTGGTTAGATCTTGGTACAAACTTCAGCCAGGGAGGTATTGTGTGCTCACCTGCTCGGCAGCCTGGAAAGTTTCCGAGGACCGCTCTTGCATACGTCTAACCCTAAATCCCGTCGCCTCGATAATCCAGCATTCAATTATGATAATTATGTGCAGTGCACATGTACAGAGTGGACTGCACGCACGTACAGTGCTTGCAGTGCATGTCGTGATTACACCAGTACATGCACATGTGACGGTCCACGTCCGCGTAAGCAATTGTCTGAATAATCTCAAATCAACCCGACACTGCATGCCTCCGAGGGGTTCTACCCAACTGTGCATGTGTGCGCGGGGCAAGACTATACTGCCAACGTTGTACCCGCTTGTACCCATTAGCATTAGAAGCAGGTTCCCTCTCCAGGGAGAGTGATGTCTGCAGTCTAGCCTACAGACACGACGCAAGCAGTAGAGCGTAAGCTTGATTCCACTCTTTGCAGTAGTCACATACATGTCATGGCCTTTACAAGATTAGACGTACTTCAGTACTAGGTATAGTATAGGGCGCTGCAGTGTTCGGTATCCTCGCCTTATCTTCGTCCAGGCACACTGCACTACACAGAACACACGGAATATTCTTACCGTTTCCTGACTGGTGCCTCTGTGCCTGACGCCGTAAAGACACTAAGTTGTTGTCGGCAATGGCGGAGGATGGCAGTCACCAAGTCCTGTTTTCCTCCGCCTGAACCACTGCCTCCTCTCGAACCCATACCGGACTTTCCTGAAGACACACGCACGCAGGTACCGGTATGCATATAAAGCACAGAACGGGAAGAGCAAAATACATCGGACATGCATTAGAGCAGCACCAGAAAATGGTCCTACTTACAAGTGCTCCGCAGCATGCAGTTGAAAAAAGCAGGTACCTGGCGTCATGAAACTGATACCTGGACATGGACAAGAGTGAAACTACCTTACTGCTAGATGGCAGGGGAAGGTCTGGCAACACCAAAGGCAGAGAGTGTGGCATGGGTTACAGAAGGCGATTAGTTTATGTGCGTACCTGATTTACGATTCGAAGCTCCACTGGCTTGGATACGAAATGACTTGGCCATGTCCTTTATATCTGGAGCAGGCAGTAGCCGTAAAATGACTTCCAGGTCATTAAGCTTTTCCTCTAGCAATACAAACACACCAGAAAAATAAAACATTTGATGGGCTCTTCTTACTTGAGCCTCCCCCCACACACACCATTCCCGCCGAGCTCTGAGCTCCGGCTGCAAACAGAAAAAGCAAGGATGTAGATATTGATCGATGGCGATGCTTGCCCACATGATACAACAAGCCGTGCTGGCCCTGGGAACGTCGCACTGCACGGTCTCACGTACTTGCCCTATATTGAACTCTATACATGTGCTTGCATATCTTACAGTACATGGAATAAATCAACAGCATACCCGCAATAATACGATGTCCAGAGTCAAGCAAACAAACTATATAGAATGGCAGGACTACTTCACGCATGCAGGGTGTTTCCCAGGCAGTTCCTCGCTTACTGATATGACACGTGGTATATTACCGCTAAGTAGGATCAGCCCCAATGGGGCAGGGGTAGTTCAACCCTGCGTCCATGTGCCCAAAATGTGTGTCCAAGGAAGGACACGCAGAATGTATGGAAGGAAAAACACTGCACGTGTCCTGACCTGTTTCCAAGAGGCCAGCGGCATGTAGCTCGTCTATAGCAGCACTCAGTCCCGAGACGATCTCGCTGTAATCTAGCTTGCAGTGCCGATGCCATCCCTTACGACGGTTGTGCAAACGAACGTATAGCTTCTGTGCATCATCTGTTAAGTACGCACAGCAGTCAAACAAAACTGTAGTTGTGTGCACCTGCCGTGTGCCTGGCAAAATGATGTCCACAGGATGGCTCGAGAATATGGTTCGGGCCGAACCTACCTTCACCAAAGTAGTCGAATAAAACTACAGCATTGTCGGGCGCCAAAGAGCGGGAGATCAAAGTCGTACCCAAGACTGTTCTTATTTGTCATGTAGAGTACTAGGTCTTGTACTGTACTAGTCTATGTGTAGGCGAGTCACCGCGTACATGCCGCTAAACTGTACTTGGTGAAATCCTGGCCTATTTGGTATTGGTGCATCCTTCCTCGGCACCCGACAGTACTGCAGGATGTTCACAATGTAACTACATGGAAGAAGAACAACAACGTGCTAAACAAACAACTTGACACATGGCGTTCACGAAGTAGACCCAGCCCATGTAGAATACACATGGCAGTCATGGACTAGAACCAGCCCATGCAGAATACACATGGCGTTCATGGACTAGACCCAGGTCATGCAGAATACACATGGCAGCCATGGACTAGACCCAGCCCATGCAAAGACGTATCAATGTATTTACCTCCCAGTCCCAGAAACGCTGTGACAATCTTCATGTCGCTCTCATCCAAGAGGCCAGCGCTGTCATCATCGCCCAGCACGCTGTCCAGTATGTAACGGAAGTTCTTCAAGTAGTAAGGAACACCAGAAAACGCCTTGCTGTCGCTGTTACGCCCGTCGTCAGCGTCATTGCCATCACCCGCTGTCGTAGGCTCATCACCGGTTAGATCTATCGTGTCCATGGCATCAGCTTGAGCTGCAGCTTCTAGCAGCTCTTCAACAGAACGGGCATCTATGTCACAGCCGGCGCTCTGTGACGCAAGCTCCTCTCGTTCCTTCCCGTCATCGCATGTATTGTCTTTGTCTGTTGGTAGAGGAGAGGGTGATTCTAACCCGGCAGCATCAGCGCCACAAGTGCTCGTAGTTGTTTGCTCCTGTGCTCCAGTAGTAGCTGTCTTGGCCGACCGAGCAAAGAATCGACTTCTCCCCGGATTGTCGTGACCACCGGCCGGCCGGCGTCCAGTGTAGCGCGCCGGCTCGGTCTCCTTATTAGAAACCACCGTTACATGTTGCTCGGGTGACCTGGCATCCACCTTTTTGGCCTGCGCATCATTGACGGTGTCGTCACACGGTGCTGCGCTGCTGCCGGGCGGTCTCTTACCAAAGAAGAACATGAGAGAAGACTGTGTCTTATCGTCAGCACTGCTTGTCTTGCGCGACTTCATTGTGCTGGGTGCTGAGTGTTGGATAGCAGCAATGCCCGATATGACACAGCGTGCACTCACCCAATCACATTCAACTCCATTCTCAAGATGCCAGACATGTCTTCATCCCAGATCAACAGAGTGCAGTCACAAATTAATTTTGACATTGAATTACAGTGCACCATGGTGCACGGGCGCTTTCTGCTTGCCGAAATGGTCACTGCTGGCAGTAATACACGTGAAGTTACTGAACTTTGTTACAGCTGTAAAATGAATGGACATGTAACATAATTTCAATTTCACGTGTGATTAGATGTGCTGTACGTCGTATCCACACTAATCAATACTCTTGTTTGAAAATGAAACTCAGCAGAGAAAAAATTAGAAGCTATTCAAATATTTGGTTTCTTTGCATTTTGCTCTCGTACCGGTATCATGCTCGACTCTCGCGTCTCGAGCGCGAGAGACGAGTCAAATCGAACACGTAGATCTACGCGAATGACTGTTGGGACATTCTTCCAAAACATGACGTCACATAATTCGTAAAAAAAAGACAACTTACTTTTGTCGCAAGCGGCTAGCCTGTCGCAAGCGCGAGACTCATCCTGGGCGCGCTCGAGCTGCGAAGCGCGACACACGAGCGCGACCCAAACTGTGTCACGTGTGTGTCGAATCTGACCGTCATATCGCCTTCGATTATTTTATTTTCGTTCTACTCGACAATTCCAAAAATCAGTGCCATTGGCTTTAGCTTTGCCCTTGAACTTGAAATCTCGTGCCTTATTCTTTCTTGGGGACTGGTGTTGGATATTGAACGGGCGGAGTGACCGCCGGGATGATGGATGAAGGAGATGATGGCCTAATCTTGGCTGCGCGCATTCTCATTTTCGCGTGGCCTGCCACTAGTGTTTGATTCACAAAGGGTGTCACAGGCATAGCTGGAGGAAGAAAGGTGATGTGAACTTCAGAAGTTCTGCCATCGCAGCACTGTATAGAGGGCCATTAGAGGCTGTGTAGGCTGTATGTTTGATTTAGTTTGATTTAGCTCAGTGCTGAGCTTGCACCGCACCACTGAACTGATCCACCTAAATCGCAAATGACGTGACCCGAACGCAGCAGTAGCACGAGGGTGCACTTGTGGTGTGTCGCAGGGCTCTGTACTAGTGTTACGAAATTCGATTCGCTTATTATTTACATCCGTTGTTGTTCCTGGTCTCGCTGTCTTGTCTTGTCCGGTGTCAAATATGGTCTGCTGTCTGTACGGGAGTGATGCGGGGTGTGCAGTATATGGGTGTGATGTGTATGACGTGGTGTATGTAGTATATGCGTTGTCAGAGAGTGTGGATCTGCTTCTGCCTGAGTGAGTGCGTTTGTCTAACTAGTTGTCGCGCATGCGTGGATTATGTGGAGCATGCGCTGTGCGAGTCGAGTTCGGGTGTGAGGGAGTGGTGTGATTCGTCCACGATGTTGTTGTCTTGGTTCTAGTCACATGTATCGTACGTACTGGTCGCTCATTGGTCGTTTCGATGTGTTCGCCGTTTCTCTGTTTATTACTGTTGGTTGTTTATTATTTCGTTGTCTTTTTCCCCCGCTCGCTTCGCCATCAGTTCTGGTTTTGATAAAGTATTCTTGGAGCCGACAAATGAGTCAACGAACCGTTGTGTGGTGTGAAGGTAAAGGGGTGGGGAGAAATTCCGTAACAGTGGCGCCCGACGTGGACTCGAGTTCCACAACTTACTACGAGCGACCTACCAAAGGGACGGAACTACTCCTCTCGTAAGTGTGCCTTGCTTGCCTCGTCCTGTTTTTTTCTCTTCGCGTTGTTTCTTTGCTTTTTTTCGCCGCCGCGATTTCTTTGGTTTCTTCTTTTTTTTTTGACCAAGGCTTGGCCTTGGGGAGTCCCTTTGCGTTTTGCCGTTTCCTTTGCTTCTCCTTCCTCCCACTTAGTTCGTCATCATGACGGAGCCTGGCAGATGGTTGCTTCCACGCCCGTTCCATGGACGCCCAGAGGAAAGCCTGGCGGCTTACCTGCGAGATTATGATTCCTGCTTGAAGACCAACGGCTACGTCGCCCCTCCAGCCGAGGGAGAAGCAGACCCTAACCGAACTAGACTCGACCAAATGCGTATCTTTCTGCTACAACGCGGACTACAGGGACCGGCGGCTCTTGTCCTTGAATCCTTATCGGACGAAGACCGTGACGATCCTGTCAAGCTGCGAGCAGCCTTAGTGGCCCGCTTCGGAGATAAAGGAAAGGAGGCAGTACGCCAAGCGGAGCTCCAGGCCAGACGAAGGACACCCGGTGAGTCGATTCCAGAACTGGGTGATGCCATCTCCATTTTAGCCGCCCGTGCCTTTCCGGGGGCCTCTCGTGATGTGTTGGGGGCTGTTGCCACTAGGGCTTTCTTGGATGCATTGGAACCCACCTTGGGCAATAGGGTAGCCGATTTTGAGCCTGTCAATATTGATGCCGCTGTGCGTAAGGCCGTTGTGCTCGAAGCTAGGAGTAATGCATCTTCTTTAGAACTAAGCCAAGGGGTTCTGAACGTGGCTGCCCCCGCTTCAACTGAGATAGCTGATTTGAAGGCCACTGTAGCTGACTTGGCCGCCGCTGTCCATACCCTAACACGGGCTGAACCAACTAGACCACCACGTCCTCCTGCTTGCTTTCATTGTGGAATAACGGGTCACTTCAAACGAGACTGTAGGAAATTCAAATATGAAATGTCACAACGTAATTCACAGGCGTATGGTTCATCTGCTCCTCAACCTCCGCACAGCTATTCATCACAGGGTCAACATTTAAACGGGCCCCGGCAGCGTTAGACCCGCCCGTTGCCGAGAACACTCTTATTCAAGGGTCAGATGATGCACATGTTTGTACCGTACCTCAGGCTGTTGCGTTTTCCTCTTCCGTTCTTTCCTCCCCAGGGGTCCCGCTCGACCGTGCACCGGAGTATACGGCCCTGCCTCCTTCCAACGAGCCCGATCCAACCGCCACCGTAACGACGGCTGGGGTTTGCCCGGTCAGCACGGCCATGTATTGCTCCGGTAAGATCACTTTTGCCGATACCACTGTTCCACTGACGGTCCTGGTAGATTCGGGGGCTAGTGTCACATTAATCGATTCCTCTGTTGTACCCTCCCATGTTCGATCATCTTTGCGTCCCACTAGCTCCATTGGCGTTGGGGCCTTGTATAGTGCTAATGGTACATCAATAACTTCTTTAGGAGTGGTGACTGGGATGTTTCAGCTGGGGTCTCTCCGGTTTGAGGGACCAGTGATCGTAGTTGACGATTTACGAGAATCATGCCTACTAGGCGCTGATCTGTTGAGGAAACATAAGATATCTATTTCTATGGATCCGTCGCCCACTCTTGTCATGGGGCCAGAATCCACCCCGATCTTGTCTTCTCGTTACACTGCAAATATCGGCTCCACCTCTTGGTTTCAACATACTTGGTCTGGGGTCGTGTTTCTCTTAGGCTTACTCGCTATCCTGGGGTTAAGCATTTTGGATGGGATTGGTACTTGGTTTTCCCTCCCACGTCTCCACGCCATCACCTCCCTTTTCCAGGTTGTCCTGGGCAGTTTGTTCATAGCGGCGTTTACCCTCAAAGGGACATGGGGTTGTCCCCAACTGTGGCCTCAGTGTGGTAACCACCGACCCGACCCGCAGGGCCAACCTCCGGAATTCACTACTCTTTGTTCCTCCTCGTTGCTCTCTGTGCCCCCATGGTCAGTCCGGGTTGTGTATCTAGATCTTCCATTGGGATGGTCGGACCAGGAGGAATTTCTCCCCACCCCTTTACCTTCACACCACACAACGGTTCGTTGACTCATTTGTCGGCTCCAAGAATACTTTATCAAAACCAGAACTGATGGCGAAGCGAGCGGGGGAAAAAGACAACGAAATAATAAACAACCAACAGTAATAAACAGAGAAACGGCGAACACATCGAAACGACCAATGAGCGACCAGTACGTACGATACATGTGACTAGAACCAAGACAACAACATCGTGGACGAATCACACCACTCCCTCACACCCGAACTCGACTCGCACAGCGCATGCTCCACATAATCCACGCATGCGCGACAACTAGTTAGACAAACGCACTCACTCAGGCAGAAGCAGATCCACACTCTCTGACAACGCATATACTACATACACCACGTCATACACATCACACCCATATACTGCACACCCCGCATCACTCCCGTACAGACAGCAGACCATATTTGACACCGGACAAGACAAGACAGCGAGACCAGGAACAACAACGGATGTAAATAATAAGCGAATCGAATTTCGTAACACAGCCTCCCCTAACGGGAGGAGTCGACCACGACTCCTTACAAAGAATAGGGATTACTATTGTGAATTATGAATTAGGGTTTATAAAATGTGTAGGTCGTCCTCGACCATGACCTCAATGAGAGGTGTCATGGTGGTCCGGTGGTTCGGTGTTTGCTTGTAGTTGTAGTCTTCTCGGTATCTGGTCCCTTCCTGTCCGGTGATGCTGTTGAAAGAGTGAAACCATCTAAGTGCCAGTTCCTTAAACAAGAGGTCGCCTTCCTAGGGTTCGTCGTTTCTAAGTCTGGCTTACATGCTGATCCCCGCAAAATTGAGGCTGTCATGAACTGGAAGACACCAACGACGCTTACGTGTTGAAAGAGTGAAACCATCTAAGTGCCAGTTCCTTAAACAAGAGGTCGCCTTCCTAGGGTTCGTCGTTTCTAAGTCTGGCTTACATGCTGATCCCCGCAAAATTGAGGCTGTCATGAACTGGAAGACACCAACGACGCTTACGGCTCTGCAAACTTTTCTAGGATTCGCCGGTTACTACCGCCGTTTTGTTCCCAACTTTAGTTCCATTGCGGCGCCACTCAATTCTCTTTGCAAAAAAGATGCCACATTCCACTGGTCCGGCCCTCAAGACACTGCTTTTCAGACACTCTGCAACGCCCTCACAAAAGCACCGGTATTGGCATTTCCGGATTTTACTCAACCTTTCCTCATTGACACGGATGCATCCAATACAGGCCTGGGTGCGGTTTTGTCCCAAGTGGGGCCCGATGGTAAAGAACATCCTATTGCATTCGCCAGCCGCAGTCTTAACCCGGCTGAACGAAACTACTCCGTCACTAGACGGGAGCTGTTGGCAGTGGTGTGGGCTTTACCCCACTTTAAAGTATACCTGATTTCTCAACCATTTTTGCTGCGTACAGACCATAGTAGTTTGAAATGGCTGCTCTCGTTTAAAGACCCGTCCGGACAACTTGCACGTTGGCAGCAAATTCTAGCTGAGTTTAATTTTGCTATCGAACACCGCCCGGGGGCCCGCCACCTAAACGCCGACGGTCTCTCTCGCGCCGACGATCCGCCATCTAGTCCAGCAACGGTTAATTTTATTACCACAGTCGATCCAGCACAGGTCAAACAAAACACACAAACAGACCCACACCTAAACCTAGTGATAGAAAGACTGCAGGCTCAAGAGGAGGCGTTACCAGGGGACCCCTATCCCGTTAAAGTTCTTCTCAACCAGGCGTCGTCTCTTGCAGTCGAGAATCACACTCTCTATCGTCAGCTACCCGGTCGTTCGGGCCGCCAATTAGTTGTGCCCACCGCCCTGAGACCCATGGTGCTAGAACTCGCTCACGCAAATCCTACGGCGGGTCACTTTGGCACAGAACGTACTCTACAACGTCTCCGCGATTTCTTTTACTGGCCTGGCTTATCAACCGAGGTACGCCTTTTTTGCGAAATTTGTCCAGAATGCGAAGTTTCCAAGTTTCCAACTCGAAAGAACAAAGCGCCACTTGGCACCATTAAAGTGGGTTTCCCTCTAGAGGTTATTGCTATGGACATTATGGGCCCATTCCCACTTTCTAAAAGCGGAAATCAATATGTACTTGTCATCGGAGATTATTTTACGAAGTGGCTCACAATCATTGGTATACCCGACCAGACCAGCGGTACCGTGGCCCGTGCTCTTATCAATAAATTGGTGTGTGTCCTTGGCGTCCCATACTCAATCCATACAGACCAGGGGTTAAGCTTCGAAAATGCTCTGATTCGGGACCTATGTACATTGTTAAACATCAAAAAGACGAAAACCACTCCCTACCGACCGCAGAGCGACGGCCTAGTAGAGAGAGCTAACAGGACTATCAAAGCCTCATTGAAAACCTTTATCTCTCACCTGAACGATGTCCCTCGGTGGGACGAATTTCTCCCTCTGGTTCAATTGGCTTACAACTCTTCTGTTCACAACGTTACAGGATTTACACCCGCGTTTCTTATGTTTGGTCGCGAACTCCGCCTTCCGCTGCACCTTATTTTTCCTATCCCTCGGGATAACGAACCAAACGTTGCTCTCTTTGTTCGCGATCTTCGCTTACGTCTCGCCGAATGTTTTCTTTTGGTCCGCCAACGGTTAAACCACAGACACAAAGTTGCTAAAACGGTGTACGACAGCAAGTGTAAAGTGCCGGTATATGTCATTAACTCTTATGTCTGGTTACATGCCCCACCCCCCAGAGGGGTCTCTCCTAAATTACATCGGTACTGGACGGGACCTTGGCAGATTAAGGGCATCACGGGTACCACAGTTGACCTAACTCGGGTGGGTCCCCTCCCCTCACCGCGACACATGCGGTCGACCTCGGTACATGTAGACAGGATTAAACCCGTCCGGGGGACAGTGACATTAGCCCCGGCAGCTCCCCCTGTTTCTCAATCCACACCAGTAGAAGAATCGGTGCCGGCACCATTTACCGTTAATCAGCCTACACCGGCCGACACAGCATCACGCCCGCGTCGGGAAGGTGCGCACCGCCCAGTTGGGTTTTATGCTCGGTTACATTCCGGACAACGGCCCGGGACAAACTAAGTCAATACGAGACGAAATCCGTAACATAGCCCTCCGTTCCGGCGAAAGCCATAACGGGGATTGACTCACCGGGTGGTTGTGCGCCCGACGAACGACCGCTGTCTCCCAACATGTGACGGGGCGAAGTCGAGTAGAGTCATGCCGTCAGTGTCCAGTAGAGTATCCACACCGTACTCGCGTGCACAATTGTAAATCATAGTCATAATATAAATTCGTAACATAACCCTCTCCTTTGCATAGCCCTCCCCTCCGTCTCACGGGGTAGACCGTGCTTCACCTACTGCCGTGTCCATTCAGATGTTATGAAGGCGCAGTGTATGAGCAATCAGTGAGGACAAACAAAACCTCACGACGGATCAATCGCACAGTTTATTGTTAATTTTTGGACGACTTGGTACAGTTTCAGACTCCGTATCCAGCCTCAGACAGAGGATCGACGGCTGCCAGGTTCAGTGTAGAACTCCACATTGCTGAATGTTGAAAGAGAATATATGTCGTGGGACGACAGCGTCGTGGGACGACAGCGTCGTGGGACGACAGGATTGTCTGACATCAGAAAAGTGCGTGCACTTCTGGAGAACCTGACAACGGACGCATTGTGTCGCTAACAAGAAGCTCCACGGAAGGCATGGACACAAGTAAAGGAAAACACAAGTAGATATACATACACTTACACATACATTTGCATTGAGGGTTTCGGCCGATATTTCTTTACACTCGGTTTTGGATGACAACGGGTATTATGAGTTTTTCGCCATGATAACTATCCACAATGCATTCGACACATCCGGGGGGGGGCAATGCGTGCCTTCCCGTACCTTGACCACCATTTTTGCACATAAAAAAAAAAAAAAAAAAAAAAAAAAACAAGACGACGGGAGGAGAGTGATGAGCGGGCGGCAGTCGTCGGGGACCGTGCAGAGTCTGAGCACGATGAGTGGGTCCCTTGGTTGTCTTGCCAGTTTGATAGAGAGGCGCAGTGTAGATCATGTACAGATCAGAACCAGCAGAATACAGCAGGCGGTCAATCGGTCAGTGAAGCAAACAACCTCGGCGCAGAGCCGGCATCAACATCTTTTTGTAACATTATTTGCATTACGACTATGATTTACGATTATTGTTTTCCGCATTCTGCCAGGGTCGGCAGTCGTCTTTCTAGTAAAGTTACCTAAGGCTAACGGAATTGTTACTGCCATGCTCTGCCTCTCTTATCTTTTCCTATTCCGAGGGCTCGAGCATTCCGGGACCCAGCCAGCATGATCTACAGCATCACCGGACAGGAAGGGACCAGATACCGAGAAGACTACAACTACAAGCAAACACCGAACCACCGGACCACCATGACACCTCTCATTGAGGTCATGGTCGAGGACGACCTACACATTTTATAAACCCTAATTCATAATTCACAATAGTAATCCCTATTCTTTGTAAGGAGTCGTGGTCGACTCCTCCCGTTAGGGGAGGCTGTGTTACGAAATTCGATTCGCTTATTATTTACATCCGTTGTTGTTCCTGGTCTCGCTGTCTTGTCTTGTCCGGTGTCAAATATGGTCTGCTGTCTGTACGGGAGTGATGCGGGGTGTGCAGTATATGGGTGTGATGTGTATGACGTGGTGTATGTAGTATATGCGTTGTCAGAGAGTGTGGATCTGCTTCTGCCTGAGTGAGTGCGTTTGTCTAACTAGTTGTCGCGCATGCGTGGATTATGTGGAGCATGCGCTGTGCGAGTCGAGTTCGGGTGTGAGGGAGTGGTGTGATTCGTCCACGATGTTGTTGTCTTGGTTCTAGTCACATGTATCGTACGTACTGGTCGCTCATTGGTCGTTTCGATGTGTTCGCCGTTTCTCTGTTTATTACTGTTGGTTGTTTATTATTTCGTTGTCTTTTTCCCCCGCTCGCTTCGCCATCAGTTCTGGTTTTGATAAAGTATTCTTGGAGCCGACAAATGAGTCAACGAACCGTTGTGTGGTGTGAAGGTAAAGGGGTGGGGAGAAATTCCGTAACACTAGGACCCATACACCAGAGATATCCCCTCGGAATCTGCGCCGGCATCATCACTGCAGTTTGCGGATGACATCGCCCTGACATGTGCAAGACGGACAGCGCAAGAGGTGTCTGATGCGCTCAGCTTGGCGGTTACCTCCCTCTCAAGTTGGCTGGACACTCGTGGTCTTGTATTAAATGCAAAGAAGAGTAATGTATTGGTTTTTACCAGCAGCAGTGGGCAGCAGCCGGACGTGGGTGTACGCTGTCGAAATGATGTGCTTCCGCACACCACCAGCGCGAAATACCTCGGCGTCTTAATCGATGAACGAATGACCTGGCAACCGCAAGTTGACCGGTGCATCTCACGCACTGCTAGGAAGATCGGTAGTCTGTGGCGGGCGCGACGCTGCCTCACTCTAGCTAGTCGAAGCAAGTACTTCCTATCTGTCATCATGCCGGATTTGATATATGGATCTTCAGCATATGGCTCCGGCTTGACCCACAACCAGCTAAACCGCTTGCAGGTGGCCCAAAACCGCGCAGCAAGGGCGGTGTTCGGACGACCACGATTTACCAGGGCCAGTGATCTCTTGGAGAGGCTCTCTGTTTATCGCATGGACGAGGTATATCGCCAGAAACTGCTCGTGCTGGTATGGCGGTGCGTTCATAACCGTGCCAGTCCTGCTCTGCAGGCACTGTTTGTTCGCAACTGCGGAGCAACTCGCCTTCAGCACAGTCTGGGCCTACAACAACCAATAGCCAGAAGCCGAGCAGGCCAATGTAGACCGGCATCTCGCGGTTGCCTGTTATGGAACCATATACCTGACACGGTGCGAGCTATGGGCAAAATCCCAGCATTCCGCCAAGCTGCCATTCCCTACACGTAAGTCGTTGTAGACTGCTACACAGTTGGCCATACCATGGTATTCAGTACCCACGAACTTTGCAAAGCCGATAATGTGATAATGTACCGTGGTGCATGCACCGGTGGTGCCACCACTTCGTAGACTGCCTCCCGTTCATTTCTGTGCTCCTGTCTTTATTCTCGTCAGCTGTGTACTTCAGCAGTTCAATTCTGTGCTCCAGTCCTCTTTATTCTCGTGAGTTGTGTACTCGTTTTGCTGTTTGTCTGGTTTATTTGAATTCGCACAGTAAATGTGTACTTCAGTTATTCTCTCCTCCCTCTTCTGAGTTTGACTCTCCGCTGGCCTTCTCTCCTCCCATCCCCTTACATCGTATTGGGCCTCCGCACACACTACATTGTCACATAGCACAACTCAACCATTCGCTACCCTGTTATTGAGCACTCCTGCTCGTTTGGTCTCGCAAATCCAAATAAAATCAATCAATCAATCAGGTTCCTACCTGTGGATGCAGCTGGGGACGCTGGTCCGCAGGCCATGGTCGTTGATGAACTCCCATGTTGGATATCCGATGGAAGTAACTATGTGTACTAGCAAAGTTACACTGCCACTGATACCATGTACTAGTGATGGTGTTACCCTATGATGTGCTGTGATCCTGTGCCCTCCCGACCTCGTGCTACTGGTGCGTTCGGGTCCCGTCATTCCCGATTTAGGTGGATCAGTTCACATTTGGGGGGACAATGGGCCAGTTTTAATTTCTTACTTTTACGACGGGGCAGCGCCAGTAAAGGTTTTTCAGAACCGCTCACAAAGAGATTTTTATATGGATAATTTCAGTTTTTTTTCCGTTCCCTACCCACCCCAACCCCGAAGGTAAACATGATGAACACGCGCGCGATGTACTGTATGTAGGCATGAGACTGCGATAACACACTGATACATACCAGCCCTCCCCACCTCGCTTACCCCGCACACAGATACACAAACACGCGGATGCACACGGTACACGCACACATACGCACATGCACACGACACAAACAGGAAATTCATGTAAAATGCAAAGCAGTGGCCACCGTACTTTTAAAAGGAAGTCAGTTGTGGAACAAAATAATTCAACTACAACGTGTAGACAAGCTGACAGCCAAAGCACAACATAGCAAACATGACATTTGCCCAAGGATTGCAGTTTGCAGACCACGCCATGGAAGCAGCAAATACAGAATGTAATATCATACAAAGTGACAAGCAAAGAAGTGGCCGCCATACACCAGAAACTTGCAGAAAGTCACATATCCAACAGATGGAAAAGTGAACAGCAATCTGGTACAGCCCACACAAGACAAAGCTGACCTGATACTTGTCCCAGGATCGCAAGTGGCAGATCCTTTTCAATGCATAACATGCAGGTGTACGTTACACGCATGGACAAAATCTGACCGTGTCGCCAGCATACAATGTCATCACATATATACCCCACAAGTTACACACATGCACAGTAGAAGCACAATGAAAGCAATGGAAAAGTACGATGTGGTTGCTGAAGCATCTTCGCACTTCAAATTCAGACTTAAATGTGGTCGTCACGAGATGATATACCTGCAAGATACAAGATAGAAATGGCGGCGGCCGCGGCGATTGCAGCCTTGCGACGCCGCATTCTGGGACTAGCGGAGGACGGGCTGTCGGAAACGTGCGCTTTCTCAACGCGTGTGGACTTTGCCGGGGTGGCGTCGGCAACAGGTGGCTCTGGTGTTGCAACGCTCTCGGTCTCACACTTCGCATCACTCGGCTCGGTAGCATCAGCAGTAGTTGTAGCAGTGTGGGAAGTATCGCTCTCTTCTTTCTCCTTGCCGCTAGTACTTGTGTCCATGGCAGTGTCAATGGTGGTGTCCATTGCAATGTCGATGGTGTTGTCCACAGTATCTATGGCGTCCATGACGATGGTGTCCATGATGATGGTGCCAGTGGGTGTGATGGTGGTACTGTCATCAGGCTTGTACCCGTGAAACTGTTCCAGGTAGTAACGCAGAGAGTGCGCGTACTTGTCCAGTGCGTACCACATGAGCTGCGTGAAGAAGGGAAAGCGGAACTTCTGCGGAACCTGCATGATAAGACACGAAGGGAGTCATAGAGGAACAAAGTGAAGTATACGGAGATGGAGAGAGATGGAGAGAGAGAGAGAGATGGAGAGAGAGAGAGAGAGAGAGACAGAGAGACAGAGAGAGAGACAGAGACAGAGAGAGGCAGAGAGAGACAGAGACACATACACACACAGTTCCACGGCAACATCGATGAACGACGTAGGAACATAACAAAACAGAAACCTTCATGCACAACTCCAAGCCTTGGAAAGCTCACACAAGGCATTGCCGTGGTAAAGTTGTAGAAGATATCATAGACATGCACACCACAGCTCACGTACCTTAGTAGTTTCTTCAATGTCCGCCACGGCAAGCTGACCGCTTATGTTGAAACTGTGCAGAAAGTTTCCACCAAACACTAGCGAATCCACAGGAGTGTGAACTGCATGAATCCAGCCTGTCAACGAACAAACATACACACACCAGTGTTGCCACATCACTTTGGCCAAATATCAGTAGGATGAAAAAATAAAATGCATCATCTGGGGGCTTTTTGCCCCAAGACCCCCATCATAGTAACCCCAGTATACACATGCACACAAAGCGCACTGTTAAAGGGGAAGTATACCCTAAAATCACATTTTCACCAGTTGTAGTCTTCGGGGTGCTGAGTCGAATGGTCTTGGTCCGAGGAAGCTGAGACGCTCTCTTCCTCCTTATGTTGTAGTCTTTTAGACGCTGAGTCATGGTTGAACAAGCTGTCACGTGCTCCCGCGTACACCAGTCACCTGGTCATCGTGCCTGCAGGGTACAACTTACTAGCCTGTTTGACCTTTTTTTGGTGCAGTCCTGTCACTCGAATTGAACTCGAGTTGAACCTTGGTGTGAAAGTTGTCGCCTGCTGGCGCGGTGACCAGGTGAGTTGGGCACCCTGGAGCACGTGACCGCTTGTTCAACCATGTTCGATTGGGAATAAAGGAGGAACGCTGCATCACAGCCTTTTTCGGACCAAAACTAGTCGACTCAGCGTCCAAACGACTACAACACATGGGCCAATCGCGGTCATCCGTGCTTTTATAAGAACGACATGGCGCTTTTAGTGACATTTTGCATACAAATCCCCATCTAGTAGGGCGCAGTCACCCAGTTTCGGTGGAAGTGCGCGAGTTCGATTGGGAAAAAAGAAGGAAGGGAGCGTCGCAGCTTCCTCGGACCAAGACCATTCGACTCAGCACCCCGAAGACTACAACTGGTGAAAATTTGATTTTAGGGTATACTTCCCCTTTAAAAAATCACGGGTCTGCATGAAACTCAGATTGAGCTATCAGATTTTCCGCCGAGACAGAATAATGATTTCACTTAGCACCATAGGAGAGAGCAATGAAAACAAACACGATGACCAGTAAGAGCAAAAATCTGGAACATGACTTCTATTATGTTCTAATTTAGTTCTAAACGAAGCATAACGTCAGAACGGGACATTTTCATGTCTGTTGTCGGCAGGAAAAGGTCAATTGTCGGCGAGTCGTGAAATGCCTCCAAAATCAGCAGGCTACTGACATGTCGGCTGGTGTGGCAACACAGACACAGACACACACACACACACACACACAACCACACACACACATACACACGCGCGTACACATGCACACACGTACACACACACAAACATACATGCACACACACACACGCACGCATTACACCTTCAAGCAGCCGAGCCCGTTGGCAACAGACCCAACACAATCAGGCATAAAGGCACCAACCAACCGAACTAGCTGGCACATACATACACACACTTACACACACTTACACACACTTACACACACACTTACACAATCTCACTCACCAGTAGGAATGACAAAAGTCCAGCCTGGTTTCAATTCGACGCGGGCACACTTCTCGACCATGTCACCCAGGAATATATCCTGCTGTTTACCCGACAACACCCACTGCTCATAGATCTGAAGATTGATTGGGGTCGGTGGAATCAGCCAGAAAACCTGCAGTGCACAACAAACACACGCACACACGCACACACACACACACACGACCGCATTGTAAGCAGGACAGTTAGTCACACCTTTTCACACTGAACCTCAACGGTAAAGAAGGGTTAGAGCACCGCTGCCCTCAAGGCGCCTGGCTCGAGTCCTGGTGGCGCCAGTCAATTTTTTCTTCAGACGTTTTCCCGTTTGCATCTTTCCCTCAACCAATGAACAGGTAAGGAGTCGTCTGTATTTTTCGAAAAATTAAAAAATCCGTCCTCGGGCAAAAAGGGGTAGGGTTGTCAGAAGAGTGCTGGCTGAATTAATTTTTTTGATTATTCGTACCTTTTTTTCTAGTATTGAGCTAGTATTGAACATCATCCACCTTCGGGTTTCCGAAGTATGCACCCCGAGTCATGTCAAGCAGGTTTGAAGCGTAGTTTTTACTGTTTGGCAAAAGTGATCTACGCTTCCACCCTGAATGGAATCACCCCAGGAAGGTCCTGATCCCTGGAAAAAATAAGGAACGTGGAGAGCTAAAAGTAAGGAATCTGCGGCGATGGATGTTGTACATCGAGTGAATGCCCTGCAGTTCTCTTCTCCATTACGACCAACTAGCAAACGCCATGGCTCTGGATGCTGACAGCAAACAGTTGAAAGAAAGGCAAGGCTGCTTTGAACATGTTGCAACCAGGTAGTAGTACAGTTACAGTTGTACTACTTCGAAGTACTATCTACCACACTCGAGATCACCCAAAGAATAAAGCGATTGAATTCAAAATCAAAAAAATTGTTGGGGATCGTCTGAAGCATATTCAAGCGAGGTACAGTCGGGCTTGATGACTGATCAAAGCCTTCGGGCTGGTCCCTTGGGCTTTGATCAGCCATCAATCCCTCTGTACCTCGCTTGATTATCTATTTGATACCATTGTAGTTGCAAACAAGTAACTACAAAAATTGCAGTACAATAGCCATGTAGTTTTTTGAATTAGTTATTTGAAAATGGTGAGCATCTTCATCTTCTTCCCGGTGCGCATGTACACATATTTTTTGAATCTGTACGTGCTCCAAGCCAACTCACCTCTGCTCAAATCGACGGCGATTTATTTCGCGATTTTAGGTCGATCGCCACGGAAAACCACACCAAACGTTGACAAAACTCCACGCTTTTCACTGAAGACGCATTGGATGTCCTGATAAAACGGATGGAAAACCTCGTAATGGCTGATGAAGAAGAAGAAATTTTTCGAACTTCCAAGGCGCACTGCAAAAGGAGTGCAAGAGTTTCGCCAGGGAAAGTAGGCAGGTCGGATTCAGTGATGCTTTTGCTGTCGATTGATGTCAGATCCAGGTGTTCGATTTGTAAGTGCAACAGGGGACTCACTTTGGCACCACTGGCTGATGGACTACCAGGCCGGGACTTTCATACACTTGTTGCACTGACTGTGTAGTGTACTGTAGACCAGGGAGTCGTAAAATACCGGTATTTACGACTCCCTGGTGTAGACGTAGTGTAGGATCGATTGTCGCAAACACCAGTATCTACTACACATGACTTTTCAGACTTTTCATGTAGTTGTAGGACGTGCATGGCCGTCGGTAGACCTACTACTCACTGTACTTAGCTACTTGGAAATGAGGCCGACTGGGACAGTGAGTTTCAGAGGTGTTCATCAACTTTCATTACTTTTCTGACAAGCAAAACTGACTGGCTGACAACGTCTTGGCAAGACTAAAAACCGCCAGAACAGAACGGAAAACAATTAGGTTGTATCCAGAAAGATAAGCACGAGAGATTCAAATAAATTCAAATAACAGCAGCCACGTGGTGCATACGACGCATCACACGGAAAAGGCATGCATAGTCCAAGTGTGTGGCGGCGTGCAAGGCACAGCGAGTAGTAAACTTATTAGTATGTAACATGCGATATATGGAATGCGTCACGACGTCACAATCAGTGTGTCTCATCGGAAGACCTTCTGAACAACTAGTACTTGACATACAATGTAGGTGCAGTCAGAAAACATGGGGTCAGGAGTAAAATTAAAACAACCAAATGGTTGAGTTGATCTGCACTGTGCAACCGATTCTCTCACCTTTCTTCCTCCAGCTATGCCTGTGACACCCTTTGTGCATCTGCGAAACACTAGTGGCAGGCCACGCGAAAATGAGAATGCGCGCAGCCAAGTAGTTTAGGCCATCATCTCCTTCATCCATCATCCCGGCGGTAACTCCGCCCGTTCAATATCCAACACCAGTCCCCAGGAAAGAATAAGGCACGAGATTTCAAGTTCAAGGGCAAAGCTAAAGCCAATGGCACTGATTTTTGGAATTGTCGAGTAGAACGAAAATAAATAATCGAAGGCGATCATAATGACGGTCAGATTCGACACACACGTGACACAGTTTGGGTCGCGCTCGTGTGTCGCGCTTCGCAGCTCGAGCGCGCCCAAGATGAGTCTCGCGGTTGCGACAGGCTAGCCGCTTGCGACAAAAGTTGTCTTTTTTTTACGAATTATGTGACGTCATGTTTTGGAAGAATGTCCCAACAGTCATTCGCGTAGATCTACGTGTACACATGTTTTTTTTTTTTTTTTTTTTTTTTTTTTTTTTTTCTAGTCAACAATTATTTACATGACTGATTAATCGATTGCATACTGTATAAAGTAGTGACGTAGATCCACACTCATCACATGTACATGTACATGCACTAGGCAATGAGATGATGATGACCTGATGACTGTAAAACACGACACAGTAAACTATCGTACATGTATGTACGTCAATGCGCGCACTTCGCTTGATTTTGTCCCTGCGAAATATTTTTTGTACGTGGCTTTTCGAATCTGATCAAGAAGGTAGAGTGAGCGCAAACTATTAATTTTACTTGCTGGACTTGCAATTTATTAGCTGAAGAGTAGTATTTAGAACAACAGTTAGCTAGTTTCATATGTCTTTTATCTGATATAGTGCCATTCGGAGAAATTGGTATAAAGTCCAAAACTGTGGTTGCATCGGAACTGGTCCAGGTTTTTAGAATTAATATTAATTTTGGTGACACACTCAGCTGAACCTGACTGCGATAGTATCAATTGTACATGTTGTAGTGCAAGGCTAGTTGAAATGGCCGTAACACAGCCTGCTGGTGCTCGGACGCCCTTTGGCCATATGGCAGCGGTGACGGTGAGCCATCATCAAGCCGAAGGTAGCCCGACACATGCTGTAGCTAGCAGTGTCCACGCTGCTATTCCGGGCATTGTTTCTTCCCACCACAAGGAAATGTCTGAGATGATGCGCCGCAGAATGCTTGAGATGGAGAGACGCAAAAAGGTGCAGCAAATGTTTGAAGCTGAAGTTGCCAAACACAAAGGCCATGAGCTTATGCACCTTGAGATTGTGCTCACCATAGTGGTGGTGACACTGTTTGTACAGCTGCTGGCGGTTTGCTGGAGAAAGCGTTACCCCCGCTCCTACAAAGCATTCATTCTGGTCGCACTATGGCTTACTCCACTTGTCACCAGTGTCATGGCCAAGAGCTGGAAGATTGCAGGATTCTCAGTGGCCATCGCCCTTGTATTTGCGTACGTCGTTTTCCGTGCGACGCGCAAGCCTCTTCCGTTGGATACGCCGCGGTTCGTCTACAAGTTCTTTTTGATTGGCCATGGCATAACACTTGGTGCCATACACATTGGCTACTTTCTTCTGATCATGTGCTTGGTGGGGGCCTTTCCACCAGCCTTCTTCATCTACTTCCTCTTTGTCATGGTCGGTGGTTTCTATTGGTCTGTTGTTTTGAGGGACCTGTCTGTAAATTGTTCCGAATTCATGGCAGCTAACCTAGGCAATACGAGCGCGTTACCCACACGCCAATTGGATACTAGTGCTTGTTTCATTTGCCGGCAGGCCCTGGAAGTCCCTAGTAGTCCTGACGACACAAGTGTTGAAAAGACGATAGCGTTGTCCTGCTCGCACGTCTTTCATGAGTTCTGCATCCGCGGCTGGTGTATTGTGGGTAAGAAGGCTATCTGTCCGTACTGCAAGGAGGTCGTTGACATGCGTAAGCTGGCGAGAACACCTTGGGAGATCAGCTACCTGAAGCACTTTGAGTTCGTTGAGATGTTGCGTCTGTTCCTCGTCTGGTTCCCTGTTAGCTGGATCTTGATTCAGGCCGTTATCTGGTTCCTGCATTTAGAATAAAGGCCGTGACTGCTTTCTAGGAGTGAGAGCCTTGATGGACTTTGTAGGACAATGCCCTATGCTGTAAGTTTGTTTGGAACAATGATTGTTTCTTCATCTGTATTCTGTCTAATTTGCTTCGCTGGGCTTTCTATCAGTTACAATTTGCAACCCATTCAATATGGTATGTTAGATCTCGATTAAATGCGTGGTAGGTCCCTTGGTTTTTTTAATTATATTGGAAGGAATCTCCACATTTAGTCATCCTGCATACAACTTGAAATAGTCTGAAATATTTTTTATGAGAAGAGTTGAAACTGATAATCCACATCGTGACACTGGCTGTAGTCCCGAGGTTGTTGAAGGTGGTGACTGTGCGCTCGTGTTCACATTGCCGTCACTTCTTGGGAGACAGAGATCACTATAATTCGAATATTTCTTTCAGCCGTAGCCCTTGCTTACACAAGCAAGAGCTACAGTGCTGGGGGGGGGGGGGGGGGGGTA